TCCAAGGGAACACAGTTTATTGATACAGATTGTCAAAAAATATTTATGTCCAGGTTTATTTAGTGTTCAAAATTGTCATTAGCTAGCAAAATTTTAGGAAAAAATAATAATTTCTCTTTTTAAAAATGGACTTGCATGTGATATATGCATGTTCCTAGAAGTTGTACTTATTTAGACCCCTCATGTTAGCAATTGGTAAAAAACTAGCCTGCTAGCTCAAAATTAAAGCAACTAAAACCCTTGATTCTTATGACTAAAATAGCAAAGGATGTCATATTAGCATTATAAACTCTATTATGTATTTGCTGCATAAACCTTATTCGTTACTTAATGAATTCGTATTTCACTTGTATTTTATTAAGATTTATAGAACAAAATAATGAGTTTCCAATACATATTTATTCTTTACTAAACTACCTAAACTGTTCTCTAACCCCATGGTTTTTAGTCAGCAGAATCACCCGCATAACTAGTTAAAACTCAGATTTCTGGGTGTGGCCTCTGGATTCTGAGTCTGTTGATCTTGAGTAGGGCCTGAGAATGCATTTCTAACAAGTTCCCAGTTGACTCTAGTGCTCCTGGTCTGAGGACCACATCTTTTAAGGACCAGTGCTTACGTAGCCTAACTCATCTGTACATCTTTACAAATATGAATTAAAATAAGATAAATTTTATTAAAGTTGAAATGTTTAATCAATATCTAGAATCCATTTTCTTTATGATAAATAGAAATTGTATTTCCTTCAGGTTGTAATCAATGGTCCACCTATTTAAAAAGCCCTATTTTTTCTCTTCTGCCTTGTTCTCATTCATACTTGAATTCATGCTTAACATTTGAGAAGAGTGTATATTTTTAACATAATTCACATGGTATTAATAAAATACACTGATACAACCCTACCTTTATTAATAAAGATACCTCTCCCCCTGGGAGAAAGTTATGCCAGGAACTATGACCAGGAACTATGCCTAGGGCTGAGAAAACAAACAAAGAATGTCTTTCTTTTCTTGCCTTAGGTGTGCCTTTTCATTTTTGTTTCAGTGAAAACTTGGAGCAGAACAGTTGGAGGAAATTTACTTTGCTTCTGTGTCTAATTGGTTTCTCTTTCCCTATTTTTTTAAATGATAGCAGTTTACAGTTGTAGAATCTTAGCCACAGTGTGTTGGTTTTCAGATTTTTCTTCATGCTAACAGCTCACATTGGGTATTTCCTTTTCCCTTGTGTCCTACACTTACTGTATTTGGAAACTTAAGGCTACTTGCTTCATTCATAATTGAATGTATAGAGTCTGTATTTTTATTTTTCTTCATTTGGTCCTCTAAAAGCTTTGGTTTTCTTTTCCATGAATCAAGACACTGCTATACAAATTTGATATTTTTATACTTCTGCATTCCACTTCTTGCTGATTAACCTTTTACTTTCCCCCCCTCGAAATTAGTTTTTTAAATGTATGATACATAAAACGAACATTTTTGACATCTTGAAATGCCATTTATTCTAGAAATATACATAGTTTTACTTGCAGGAACTCCATTAAGTCTCCTTACCTTCAATTGTCCTTAGGAAGATAGCCCAAGTATTAACATCATTTGCTGACTTAAAGTGAATGTTTTGTACAGTATGATTAGTAATGATGGTAATTGGTTTTAACACTTATTTGCACCTGTAATTTTGGTGAGATAACAAAGATCAGAAAGAGTAAATATGAGCAATTTACTTGGTGTTGGTCTTTTAAGAATAATGGAAGCAGGAATACTTTGTCCCTTGTATACTTCTTATCAACATATTGTGACATTGAAAAATATAAAATGAAAAATTTAAATTACATATTAAATTAAAATTTATTCTTTCTGATTTTCTAGTGGGGGAAAAAAACTGGCTAACCACCAGGTATACTTTGTTTTTGAAAAAAAGATAGAAATTCCCAAATCCTTTGAGCTACATCCTTCTTCACCTTGGTCTGAAGTTCTTAGTGCATTTCAGCCTTGAGTACAGTTTTCTTTCTCTCCCACCTGTTCTTGGATTGATTACGTGAGAGAAGGCTTCTGTGGGAAGGCTGAAAAAAAAAATTATATATATATATATATATATATATATATATATATATATATATATAAAGTTTACTAACAAGTGGAATAATTTGGGGATTTCTGTCATTTGCAGCATGGCAGACAGAACACTGTTGAGTGGTTATAAAATGTATACCGAGGGAGTTTATAAAAGGGAATCTAACTCAGATGAGTTTAGATTATTTTGTTTTTGAAAGTTGTGAGGGTTACTTAAAGGGAGGACCTTTGTAGGTATGAGTATATGCAAGAAAGAAATTTAAAGAACTTTAGGTTTTATGGGGACTAGGTTAGTCATTGAGTGTTCCTAGGAGATTAAATAAGACTTACAAAAAGCAGCGAAATCTCTCTTTGCTCTAAATTTAACAAAGGAGAGAATGAAACATTAGTTGAAACATTAGATATTGACCCATTGAGAAATCTTAAATCTATCTTCTATTATTTAAATTTTTAGGATATAAAATTGGTTCTGTGATTTATGTTAAAATAATACACTTACACTAAATTGAGAGCAATTGGCAAATTTTCTCAAGAGATTGAACCGATTTATAAGAAATACAGAATAATGAAAGTAAAACAGAAGAATGTGACAGGGCACCATTTACATTATCCATGCTTTTGGAAATTATTATGTATGATCTGTTTTTTAAAAATATGGTACTGAGTACTATAGGTTACCTTTGAGAAAATATGTTAGCTTAATATTCACACAAACAATATTAGTTATAACTTATTTAATAGTTAAGACTTGTTTATAATATACCTTGACCTATAAAATTTACCTTTTTTATACCATAGAAGTTTTCAGGTCTTTCTGTTCTTTAAGGAAGGTTCAACCTGGTTTAAGTTGAAATGGCTTCTAAGGTGCTTGACTTGTTAACGTACTTACCTCTCTGACACAGTTCTCCTCCCACTGTCCTTTAGTTAATTGCTGTGCTAAAAACTGGGTTGCGCCCAGGCCTGTGCGGCTTATGTGATTGGAGCATCATCCTATGCATCAAAAGGTGGCAGGTTCGATTCCCAGTCAGGAAACATATCCAGATTGTGGATTTAATAGTGGTTGATTGGGGCATGTGCAGGAGGCAACTGATTAATAATATTGCTCTCTCACATCAACATCTCTCTATCTCTATCTATCGATATCTTTCTCTTCCCCTACCAACCCTCCCTCAGTAAAAACATGTCTTCAGGTGAGGATCTATAATAATAAAAGCATAATATGCTAATTGGACCAACCCAAACCAAGCAGGGTCTGCCAGGGAAGCCTGGGTCCTGGGTGCCCAAGGGAAGCCGCTGCAGGCAGCTGGGGGAAGGAAGGCCTACTCTTGCAAGAATTTCATGCATTGGGCCTCTAGTTTAAAAATAAAAATACTGGGCTGTCATTCTTTTTTTCTTTTCTTTTTCCCCCCATTTTCTAGTCCAGTTATTGTATGTACTATAGAAACAATTTGTATTCAAATTGTTAAATACATTTTGGTATAATGCTCTTGTTCTGCTTGCTTTGCTTCTTAATTTATGTAGTATCAGAAATATAATAAAAGCCTGCAAATATTACTTATAAAGGATAATTCTTGCCTTTAAAAATCTTATTTAAAAGATCATTTGGATAAATTCATAGAACTTAAATAAATATCATCTTGCCTAGAATTCTAACTTAATTCCAATAAACTTGATAATTTACTGACAACACAAAAATAAGGAAATACTTCCAGTTGTAACATCCTAGGCAACATTTTAGTGACATTCCTTTTTTAATGTTTTGTTTCAAGGAGTATTAATTTAGAAGAACCAAATTTCATAGTGATATCATATTAATAGTACCAGCACATTAATCTAGAAAATTGAAAGAGTAAATACAATGTTTAGACACTCAGTAGGTGCCAGGCACTATGCTAAATCTTTATTATTTTTAATATGTTTTTATTGGTTTCAGAGAGGAAGGGTGATGGGGAGAGAGGAGAGAGAGAGAGAAACATGGATGAGAGAGAATCGTTGATCAGCTGCCTCCTGTACTCCCCACACTGAGGATCAAGCCCACAACCTGGGCATGTGTCATGATGGGAATTGAACTGCAACCTCCTAGTTCATAGGTCAGTGCTCAACCACTGAGCCATGCTGGCCAGGCCTAAATTTTAAATGTAGGATTCAAGAGTATAGAATGTATTATAGTAGGAAACTTAACACCAAACTGGGCTTAGAGGATAAACTTCAAATGCTGGTACCTCCTTTGTTTTTAATATGTTGTCAAAACTTTACTTTCATCCCAGCTGGTTTGGCTCAGGGATAGAGCGTCAGACCAAAGGGTCCCAGGTTTGATTCTAGTTCAGGGCTGCAACTTTGGTTGCAGACTCCTTCCTGGCCTAAGTTCTGATCGGGGCTCGTGCGGGAGGCAACCAATTGGTGAGTTTCTCTCACATTGATGTTTTTTCCTGTTTTTCCCCTCTCTCTTCCACTCTTCCTAAAAATCAATGGAAAAAGTTCCTCGGGTGAGGGTGAACAAAACAACAACAATAAAACCAACACAAAGAACACATTGCTTTCAGTCTGTTCAATTTGTGGTTGTATGTTTCTATTCAGTCAGTAACATTTTTATTATAATTTTAGTTATTAAATATGGAGAATATATTGGTACGTTTTTTCAGTACTTGTTGATTATGTTAAAACAGATTAATAGGAAGTATTAGCTCTTTTCTTTTTACTTCAAGTTAAAAATCTAGTGTGACCCACAAAACAGAAATATTATAACATAAAGCAAATACGACTTTTGTACTCTTCCATGATAACGAGCAACCTAATGTCAGTTGAATTTTTGTTCCATAGTACTAGTTGCTTAAGGAAAAAATGAACCAGTTCTCTTTTAGTATATCTCTTTAGCAAAAATATGCAGCTAAATTTATTGTGTCACACAAGTTTGATTTGTTTTTGTTTTCCAGGTGCAACAATCGAACACAGTGTATAGTAGTTACTGGGTCAGATGTATTTCCTGATCCATGTCCTGGAACATACAAATATCTTGAAGTCCAGTATGAATGTGTCCCTTACAGTAAGTATGAAATTGATATGTTTCACTCTCTCCAGCACTCCTGGTTGATGCTGAAAGACGACACACGTGAAAGAAGCATATGTTTATGGCCTACAGAACCATTATGCATGCAGAGCACTAACAGACTCAGGCCTCCAATTAGCTTCACGAAGTGTGGAAGGAAGCCATCGTGTCATGCTGGCCAAGTGTCTGTCTGTGTTCTTAAAGTGTTTGGCTTTTAAGGCTAGTGTTTTTCCAGGAAACAAACTTGAATTAGCTATTCAATAGGGCAGATAGAAATCTGTACTTTTGCCCGATACCAGTTGCTGACAAATTGGTTTGGCTCACGGTTTTGTAAAGAAGGAATTGACTTTGGTGTTAATTGTGAGCTACTTGAATGGCTACCTGCTGTCGTGGTAACTTCAGTGCCTGTGAAAAGCTACCATTGCAGTAACTGAGGCCAGTGCTTCTCTTTTGGTTCCTTTGTCCTTAAGGGAGCAATTCTTGACCAGATTCAGTGATGAAATATTAACCCTAAACAACATCGATATGAAAAAATCGTGCACATATTTCTGTTTTTAACTTAGCCTAACATCCATTTATAGTGAGGTCCATAGAGGGATATTTAAAATTCCATTGGAATGCCTTAAGTAGGAGTCAGCTAATGTTCTAATTCTGTACAGTTTTTCTCCAAACCTTAAAATTTATACTTCTAAATTATATTCTATACTTTCATTGTGCATTTTAGACAACTAAAAAGTTGCAGTTTATTATCTAATTTTCATGAGCTAGTTTGTTTGAAAGTGTTCTTGTATTCATTACTTTTTAACCTGGGGGAAGGGGGGGAAAGTGTCATGTTGCCTCAGTTCATAGGAATTTGAATTAAAAGTTCGTTAGCAGCAATTTTATTCATTTGAGATAATTTTGGTACACTTTCCTCCGGAAAAAAAAAAATCATCGGATTCCAGCTAAATAATGAAATTACTTTTTCCAGAACCTCCAAAACTAGATCACTAGTTCTGACAGATTCCTACACCCAAACCATCGCTATTTCTATAACCAAATGGCCGAATTCTAGAAGATGTACTATGTCCAATACAATAGCAATGCATTCTTACATTGTGTGAAGGCGCTGTCTCTTTCTTTTCTACCCACAGTTTTGATAAATTGGCTTTTTGTGGGATATCAGTTAAAGGCCAAACACAGATGATCTTTTCTTTCCATTCCTGCTCTGTGCTCCTGTGTTACTGTGAAATGGATGCTTTTTATGTTTTCAGTATTTTCTATGCCATTTGTAGGATTGGAAGCCCACTGAGTGCACTGATCTTGATGTCATTTCTCCCGTGTGTAGTGTTGGTGGCCCACACACTCATTCTCCTGTGCCACTAGAGGAACATTGTATTCTTTGAAGCTAACCAAAATTTTGTTCCATAAAGTCACATTCACTTGAATTTAGCCTGGTTTCTGTCCTCCCATTAGAAAAGGAATACAGCATCCATCCCCAAAGAGTGGAATCAGTCAGAGCTGCCAAGAATTGTTTCTTTCTGGTGCCTGTTCCCGTACCCTAGTCTATAGACCAAGAACAGTGTGAAGCAAATATTATTTTCAGACTGAAGTTATTTCTTGTGCTGTATAAGAAAGGGAAAAGTGGATATCTTCTGGGATGTCTAACTTTCAAATTTTTACCTTTTCAGTTCTCCAGAGTATTGTACATTGTTCACTACATTTGCACTAAACTTACAAATAGCTATTCTCAGAGAAGTATTGGTTCTTTTTAGTTTTTTTTATCCTTTAAATAAACCCGGGAATTAATTTGCTGTTACCTTTCTAGAAGTTTGCACAAGGCAGAAATAAGTCTATGGCTTTAAAACAAACAAACAAACAAACAAACAAACAATGTCTTGCTAAAGAATTGATGTAATTATAACTTCTGTATATCGTACAGAAGTGACACACTATCAATTGCATGATTTTTACTAATATGATAATATAAAGCAAAAGATCTTTTTAGATTGTTCTGATCTTAAATATGACCATGTATTTTCTTTTCTCTTTTCTCTGTTCCTCAATTCTGTTTCTTTATGGTTCTGTTCAATGTATCCATCCTTCACACTTGCTTTTTATTTGAAGCCTGTAACTTTAATTTTTCTCCTTGTTTTAGTAGTGTTTTTATACTTGTACTATTTGCATAACCTTTACACTATACTCAGTAAAAATTGTCACCATTAGGTAATATTTATTATGTGTTCCTTACCATCTTTATGGCAGTTTTTATCCAGAGCAAATTCTCTAGGAGCTTATATATCCCATATTGTTTTCTCCTCTTTAAAAAGCTATTCAGAAAATTTTTCATGCTTTCTGAAAGTTATATAATTAATTTGCTCAACAGAGTCCATTAGAAAAATTGTTAGTTTTATTTTGCATATTTACAGACAAACATATGTATTATATCTGACATATATTTCTTCCTAGATAATGTCTATGTCAAAAATATATGTACACAGGACATTCTTTATCTTTAACAGAAGTGTTAGTAATTGGATGTATTTGTTTAAAATGATTCATAAGGATCTTGTAGGATAAAAGAAAAATTCAGATTGGAAATTTATATTCTGTAGGCAGGATTTGGCATTGATTTTTGTGATCTGTTTCAGATGATCACTAAATTATAAAAGTTATAAATTTAGCTACAAATTTTATTTGATTAAGAAATAATTATTACAATTAATTAAGTCATTATTAATGAGTAAACATGAGATTATTCAAAATGAAATAGTGTGTCACTTCAGTTACAGAGTATATAGGTGTTAGTTTGCTTGGGTAAAGTTCTTGTGTTCCATATCCATGTAGTCCTTCCCTGATGTTAGTGGGCCATGCATTTATGTTTGTTTGGTCTATAGAATAGAATACATATTATTATAAATTAATTCACATAGTCTCAAGACAATTTTGCATATATATTTGGCATGTGATGATGCTAATTAATGCTAACTTCATTAATTTTATTGTGATTTTATATTATTCTGGGTTGAGGAATTTTAATGTACCGATTTGACATATACCTATGCTTTGGATTTTCATAAAAATTATAATGTAAGGACATTTGTTTTAAATACCATATCTTATTTGATTCAGTAATCACCAAAGGCTTTATTTAGTTATTTTTAATCTTTTATCTTTGGATATTCTCAGTTTTCGTCAGAATTATAAATTAGATACAACCTATGTCCATTTTATTTTTTTAATATTAATATATCAGTTAAATAATAAACAAAGCCTCCCTATTTAATATTTTGCTCAGTAACTGCACTATCAGTTTAATTTATTCAATAATAAAACTCCTTCATTTTCAATTAATAGTAAACGAAATATGCTTTCTACATCCTTTATTGAACTTGTTTTAAGTTCTATTTTAAGTATGTAACATATTTTAAAGTATATCATTCCGATTGAGTAAAATCATCGTTTTCTAAACGAATATAGCTGCATAAAAAAATAATCTGAACAGTCACAACACTAATGATTTCTCTTATCCTCATTTCCCCACCACGCCCTTCCGTTATTGATTCTAAGCAGGTATAATATTGTTCTTCACTGAGGAGTAATTTTAGGACTAGTGGTTTATCAAAAGTTTTTCATGTCAGTAACACTTAATATCTCCTTTTTACCAGAAGCAGTCAGAATTGCACATTATAGAGCAAGTATGTTTCCTGAAAATAGTTAAATACACAAAGTTGGGTGCGGTTTGGGGGTGGTAGCTTAATGTGGAAGGAGTATCCTATTTTTATGCCAAAAATATTAGTGTGATGTTTCTCCCTAAGGTATTTTAGAGGTCAGTATTTAATCTTGAATTATTATAAATTTAAGAAATTAATCAAGTTAAGACATCTTAATGAAATGTGCAACTACAGTATCTTTGGGTAATCAGTTTGGAGATACAGTCCTAGCACATCATAATGCATTTCAATAAGGGAAGCAGAGACATTAATCTGGACACATTATGAAATTCAGGCAACATACTTCAAAGCCTACCTAAAATCTAAAATAGTGCTTTATGGTTTGTAATTAACTGCATAATCCATTTCTTTAAACTTCTTGGAGGGAGAATTTTTTTCTCATATCACTGTACTAATCAGGTTTGTTTTATGAAAGCATTTACCTTTTCTGGGGTCTGTGGAGTCAAGGTATTTGCTTTGAATGCTTGGTATGATGGTTGTTGCATGCAAGCTTGCTTTCTGTGTAAATTGATGATGGTAGACAATGTCATAATGAGCTAACCATAATTCTTTCTTCCTTTTTTCTCCTTGCCTACTGTGCTTGCTTTTTCCTTGTATGTATTTTGCTTACTTATTTTTAAATAGTCTTAGTATTACAACTTGAGATACCTATTATAGAGAATTTAATAAGAATTATATATTATGGAGCATATATAAGTTTTTATACTTAAATTTACTAATAATTAGTAGAAAAGAAACACATTAACATACACCACCCTTCAAAATCCCTATTGGGATAGAGATGGGGGAAATTTATATATTCCTGTAAAGGAGGCATTGTTTGCTTTTACTAGTATGGTTCAGATGGATATTTTTAGAAATAGAACATAATAGAAAAACAGTTAAAACTTGTAGTGATATGCATAATTATATATTTTGTATTATATAAACATATTTGAAAAATGTTAAAATGTAGCAACATCTATATTCATTAAATTTGACCTAAGCTCCAAAATTGAGTTGTAATTTTTTATAACTGTATTTTGCTGTTATTATGTTTAACATAATTTTAGTCATTGTAATTTGAATTACATGATAGGATAAATGGGGTTGATACACCCATGCATGCATTTGTGCCTGTAGCATACATATATAAAGCAAAACTTGATAAGAATGCTGAGTGACTTTGGAAAGGCAAGAGTATGTATGCCATGCATTAGTGAAGAATTTCATTATTTATTCAGGTACACTAAGTGAAGCAACATGCCAACATATTTGTATTGCCTCCTTAATCTATTAAAGTGATTGATCCATGTTTTTTTATGTAACTTTAGAATCTTTCTCCTGCTAGGTTTTCCTGTTGTGTATTTCTCTTTATCCAAAGTAGTGCAGCTCTTATTCTTCCTATATATAGCATCTATTACTAATTCAGTCTTAGACTAATAGTCAATTTATTTTAATCTTTTTTCTTTTTTCCTTGCACTCTTTTTATTTTTCTTCCGATGCTTAAAATAGAAGTGGAGCAAAAAGGTAAATAATGTATACAGTCTGAACCCCAGCTCCCTGTTATGTGCCTTATGGATGTTACCTCCTCCCTTCCCTTCCCCTGCAACACTCCTGACATTAAAGTAATCAGCAGGACCTCATAAATGCACCTCCTAAAGAAGTCCACTATTAGCAGTGAGATTATGTGACTGCTAAATCTGGTGATGGGGTAAAAATTCTGAAGTCGGCGAGGGGGAACTGCCCTTTTTCACCCTTTATCTCTTTTTTCTGGCACCCTTGGATATTTTATTATTAAAGTGTCATCTTGCCTGGTCTCCAGAACCCTCTCCATAGCATGCCATGGTTACAGGGTATCCTGGTTGCTTCATCACTGCTTTCCTTGTGTTTACTTTTCTCTGCTTCTAATTGCATTTTCCGAATATTTATGTTTCTTCAATCGAAGCTCCTTTGTTTTCAGTCTAACTTCTGTAAAAGTTCTAAACAAGCCTTCATATTGGGTTTTTTTGTTCTATTTTGTTTATTTGGGTCTTTTGCTTTGGGGTTTGGGGGGCTCATAAGTGGGCCAGGGAAGGGGAGGGTACAAAGTTTGGATTAAAATAAAGTGTTTTGTACACTGCTGTGCACTAAAGCTTCGAGTTTTAAAGCATCAATTACCATATTGTCAAATAAAAACACATAACAAAAATGTAAATGCTCCACTCAGTTATGAATGGTATTAAACTTAGCTTCATATGTGTGAAAATAAGCCCCAGCCACTCTGTGCTGGTGCTTTAATAATGGGAACCTGAGGAGAGAAGGGAGGTACTTTTTTTAAAGGGTACACTTTGGAAAAATTGAATGTTAATTAAATGATTTTTTTTCTCTTTTGATTTATAATCCTTAAAATTTGTGTTTACCTGAATAATTTTTTTAACTTTGCTTAATTCTTGTCTTTTCTATGTGACTGCTAGTTTTTGTGTGCCCTGGGACCTTGAAAGCAATTGTGGACTCACCATGTATATATGAAGCTGAGCAAAAGGCGGGTGCTTGGTGCAAGGATCCTCTTCAGGCTGCAGATAAAATTTATTTCATGCCCTGGACTCCCTACCGTACCGATACTTTAATAGAATATGCTTCTATAGAGGATTTCCAAAATAGCCGCCAAACAACAACCTACAAACTTCCAAATCGAGTAGATGGTACTGGATTTGTGGTATACGATGGTGCTGTCTTCTTTAACAAAGAAAGAACGAGGAATATTGTGAAATTTGATTTGAGGACCAGAATTAAGAGTGGAGAGGCCATAATCAACTATGCCAACTACCATGATACCTCGCCATATAGATGGGGAGGAAAGACTGATATTGACCTAGCAGTTGATGAAAATGGCTTATGGGTCATTTATGCCACTGAACAGAACAACGGGATGATTGTTATTAGCCAACTGAATCCATACACTCTTCGATTTGAAGCAACGTGGGAGACCGTGTACGACAAACGCGCTGCATCGAATGCTTTTATGATCTGCGGAGTCCTCTACGTGGTCAGGTCAGTTTATCAAGACAATGAGAGTGAGACAGGCAAGAACGCCATCGACTACATCTACAATACCCGACTGAACCGCGGAGAGTATGTGGATGTCCCCTTCCCCAACCAGTACCAGTATATCGCCGCAGTGGATTACAATCCCAGAGATAACCAGCTCTACGTGTGGAACAACAACTTCATTTTGCGATATTCTCTGGAGTTTGGTCCACCCGACCCTGCCCAAGGTGAGAATGTTTGCTTGCTCATGTAGATATCTTTTGTGAACAGCGTATTTGTGAAAGACTTTTTAATTTTCCCCCTGTTTCTTTTCTCCCCTTTTTCATAGTTAAAGCACAAAGGATAATGAAGCATTTCAGGTTATCTCATAGTTTGTACATTTTAGTTTTATTGTAGTCCATCCCCCCTCACTCCCCACCCCCAATTTCTTCACTGAAATGTTGGCTTCAGAAAATTGTAGCCTCATTGGGCACAGCTAAAAATATAATACCAGCTACAAACAAATCTGTTAGCTTTGTTTTTTTCCTCCCTGACTTCTGAATTGATTACAATCTATGTGCAGACCTTTTAACTTCTTGGCGCCAGTGGGTAAGGAGAATAAGTGTTAGGAAGTCCCAGGAGAATTGTGAGCCTTGATGTACAACTCCAGGCATAAGTGAGTGTTTTGAAGTCTGCTCTGTGTGCTGGAGAGGGAGTCATCCAATAGCTTCCTAGATCATGTAAGAATTACCCATTTTTATTTCCTGGTACGTTAGTATGGTTTTAAGGCAAAATTTCTGTGACTTCAACTGTCACCATTGACAAAAAATTTTTTTTTTAAATAAAAATAAAAATTAAAAAATTACATGATTCCAAGTGATATTTTATAAAGATGTTATCTGCTAGTATTTTTGTGTGTTATCTTCAGGTAACTTTGCAGATATTCATTACTTCAAGGAAGTAATGCTAAATCTTGGGAAATATACTTTAGTTTATCAAGTGAGTTGAATTCTGTAGGAGACAATTATTTAGGTTGAATTAAATGAATATTTTATTAAAACAAGATTAACTCATCCTCACAATAAAAGTTATAGAGCTTGCACTAATTATGAGTCTTCTCTTTGAACAATATTTGTGTATTAAAGTTCTGAATTAATGTTTCATTTTACTGAGTTAATTGGAATTCTCACATTATTGAGTAACTTCAAAATTTTAGGAGCCAGACTATTCTTTGGAGTGATTAAATCAAACTCTTCAAGGTGGAACAGAAATTAATATTGCTTTTCTTCTATTAAAGCAGTACACATCCACATACTTAAATATAACTATAGGTTTCCCCACATAGTTTAGGATATACTAAGTTCTAAATATTATTATGGGATTAGAACCTCAAAAACAGAAGTCATAGCCTTTTATGGTTTAACTTTTTGTTGTTGTATAATCTTTTTATTATTATATGTTGATATACACATAACATTGCACACATAGTCCTTATGCTTTCAGAACTGGTACTATTCAAAATATCAATTTGGTCCATGATATAGAGTGGCTGGTGGTGTTGTTAAAAGTCCCAAGTTCCTGATTCCTGGTAGAACAACAGCTTGAGGTCCAGTCCTACATTTAATTTATATTTTTAACTTCAGCAGTGCTGGTTCAGAGAATTTGTGTACATGCAAGTGATTTGTAGGAAAAATATTAATAATTTTAAGGCTTTGTTAATTTAGGAAAGTCAGACCTCAGATCCTATATAATAAAAGGCTAATAAGCAAATCAAACTCTGGACCAATGAGTCGCTATGATGTGTATTGACCACCAAGGGGCAGACGCTCAATGCAGGAGTTGACCCCTGGTGGTCAGTGTGCTCCCATAGTGGAGTGCTGCTCAGCCAGAAGCGGGCTCCCAGCTGGTGAGACAGTGGCTGTGGGTGGCAAGAGCCTCTTTGGCATCCGTGGCAGAGCTAAGGACCTCACAGAGGATGTCCAACTGCTGGCTTAGGCCTCGGGAGCAGGCATATGTTGGCAGGTGGACATCCTCCAAGGGGTCCCGGACTGTGAGAGGGTGCAGGCCAGACAGAGGGACCCACCCTCTGTCCCCCAGTGCACGAATGTCCTACACGGGGCCTCTAGTTAAATATAAGGTTTGCTGAAAATCACCTTTTCAAATACCAGTTTGAATGAGACATCAGTTAATTGTGAGAAGGTGTCTTTTGTACTAGAAAGTAATATTTGTATCACAGTGCTTTGAAATCTGCATCAAATGACTGTCTGATTCATTGATTGTTGGAACTGGGACAAGAAATATTCCAATAGGCTATTTACTTACAATGAGAGACTGATACAAGTAGTTATGGCAAAGGTTCTTATGAGCACTCTACACCTGAATGATTATGTGCCCTGTGATGTCTCAATTCCTTCACCATTGTTTTTGGTTATTTATTTATTCTTTTTTTGCAGTTGAATTTCTGTACATGCAACAAAAATTTTGAATAATATCAGTTTTGAAAGCGTAAGGACTATGTGTGCAATGTTATATGTATATTAGCATATAATAATAAAAGTAATATACAGCAGCAACAACAAAATTTGTGATGTGATTTTTGTTCATAAGAGCAAAAACGACATTGCCTTAGTACAATGCCCCTTTTTCTCTGGGTTACGTATGTCTAGAATTTTTTGGCTTAAAATGATAGCAGTAATGACTATTGTTACATGCTCCACAATGAAATCTTCATTCCCCCTCCTCCCCCATCTCCCCTCTTCTCCCCCCACCTCCAAAGCTAGGACCTCGCTTCCCTTTTATCCTATAGGTTTGTAAAAGGCAAAAGTCAGAAATTGACAAAATCTGACATTGTATTGATACTTGTGGTAATCTTTTTTGTAATCTATACTACCCTGAGAGCTGTTCCATTTGTGTTGGGTGGTAGTAAATCTCTTCTCTGCATTAGCAAAATAAGAAAGAAAATAATTTTTAAAAACTGTAAATCCATCATGAGGCAACACCTAAAGGATTGTTAATAGAGACTAATTGCCATGTACTTGTCACAAAAAAATACTTGGTGAATATAAGAGTAATATCATTTTTACATGTGGCTTATAGTCTAGTGAATATTTTAATCCATTTCAGATGAAAAGGTCTGATAATTTGGATGCTTTTTTAGAAAGAGCAGTTAGCAGCGTTGAAAATGAGAAGCTTAGACACATTTGGTAACCGTGTTCCTACAACTGTGTTTTGTTATCCAAAATAGCCATTCTTAAATATTCCCAGAAAGTCAGAATTCATATTGGCCCTTTAAAAAAAACCCTTAGGGGTAAAAAGTTTTATCTGACCTACATTTTTCTTGCTGCTTTTTGAATCATATTCTGTTAGTCTCTTTCCTTATAATTTATCTTCATATACTTTTAGAGAGACTCCAGTCTCTCTCATTCAAGATGTGTGCTGATAGCTGGATGGGGCCTTGCAGAACTGTTCTGGCCCATAAATTTAGGTCAAACCAATAAGCTACTGTCAGCTTTTCAGAAGCAAGATCCGAGAAACGGATGGGACAGAGCAATGAGAGATCAGGTCTTTGCCTGTCATACAAAGCAATGATTGACTGGCTTGGCTGAAATTCAGTCTTAGGTACTGGATTTGCCACGATGTATGTCACCAAGGTATACATTGTGTTGTAAGATTATTCATTCCTTTCATTTTTCATTGTGGACTGCCTCATAGTGTATTAGCTTCAGTACTTTTCCCCATCTATAAATCCAAGCTCTTTTGTTGCTCACAGTACACGTGTATTATTTCTTGACCATGATCATGGTTTTTAAATAAATCTTTCCTCTTTTTCTTTTCCTTGAGTTTCAGCTTTCTGTGATCTCTGTAGAGTTCATTTGCTCCATTTACCTAAATTAGGTCTGTTTTTCCTTTCATATTCCTCCTCCCTAAAGTGGGCTTAGTGAAAAAACCCATTTCACTCTTCCTTTAACTCTTTTCTGTTTCTTAATCCGAATTGCTCTATATTTACATAATCTGACTGCAAATTTGATATCCCGAATGTTATAAAAAATATTGTGTCTTGGGTTTTGACAGCTCTTGAATAATTACTCTAATTATGAAGTACGGCACTTCAGTAATATGAGGGGAAATTTTTATCAAGAGAGTTAGGTTTATTATTTTTTTTAGAAAGTGTTTAGCATAAAATGTGTATTTCTTGAAACATCTTCCCATTGAAAATGCTCTCAAACAAAGATGCCCGCTGTTTTTAAACATTAAATAGGGTAAATTTAATGAATACATAGTTTTGCCTTACCAAGCTATAGACTCAGGCTAGCTGGAGTTCCTTCAGTGAATCATGGGTTAGTTCTTGGACTTAAATGATGGAAATGCTTCCCTTCACTTAAATGGGTATTGTCCTTAAATCTTTTCATGGCAGGAAAAAAGCCAGTAATAAATAGCAAGTCCTTAGTAGACACCATCGTAGTAAATCGAACCATTCTATATGTGCTTGTCAAAATCTTCATGGGTTCCTGTTAAATAGGTTTGGTAGTGTTTTATCACACCGTTTCTACGTCTCTGTACTCACATGGTAACAGTAGGCAGAATGCTGCATCAGTCCATCTAGGGGCTGGATAAGGCATCCTAATAACTGGGATGAAGCTCTGTATGTTAGGGTTTGGATTAGGTAGGTGGGTTTGAGTAGGTTTCTGCACCAGCGACTGGGCATGAAGTTTGCCTTGTTTTCTGCTATGCCAATCTAGAGCTTTGAACCTCTTGCACATGAATTCTAGTGTGAAACTTTGTGGTCTATTGCTCCAGTATCTTACACTATCCTCCCCACATATTTTCTTCTGTTAGAGATTTCCACAGAACTCAGTGTCAGGTACACGCTCCAAAATAAGGGCAGATGCCATGCTTTTCCAGTGTCTGTGAAAGTCTTTTACCTGGAAAAGTAAGATCATGGCATTTAAGGGTATGGACAAGTGACCTTCTCTATGTTTAACCTTCTCTATGGCTCAGTTTCTACATCTTTAAAAGGAAGATAATCTTAGTCCCACTTCATTGGGGTTGTGGTACAGATTAACTAAGGTGACCTGATGATCCTTGAAGGCTTATTAGCATAGTGTCTGGTACATAGATGCTGAATAAGTATAAGCTTTTCTCATTATCTGATGCCCTGTCTTCACCTGTGAAAAGAAATATTAATCTCTAGAAATGCCTTAGCATTTCTAACTTCAACCTTACAAAAAATTGCTTTCCTCGAAGTTGCTAAACTTTGTCCTTGGAAAAAAATCCCAGAAATTCTAGTAGTTCCCCCAAAATATTTAATTTTGCCACTTAATGTTTACTTTCATGTTTATTTTCACAATGCCCCAATATTTAAGTGATTTGCCTTTGATAATGTACTGATTCCCTTTGAACTTCTTTTGATGAACAAAAAGTAAAAAGGTATGAAAATTATCAAAAGACACATGGAAACAGGATATAGAATGCTGTGTGAAATTGTAGACATTTTAATAGGGGTCATTTTATTACCTGCCTTCACTCGGATATTATGAATCTTTCAGATCACTAATTGTAGGATTGTTGGTGCATATTTCAATGGTGAAATATGCCCTAATTAGTATTGTGTTGAGGGATACATAAGATGGTGTAGCATGAAACCACTTTACCCTGCCCCATTCTCTTTTTGCTCCGATTTCTCCACTTCCCTTTAAAATTGGATCGAGCAGCAGTCATTTGACACTTCTGCAGAAGATCGTGATGCTTTTGACAAATGTTAATTGAGAAAAGCACTGAAAGCCTGGCTGCATTGTAATCAAAAGAAAATTACAGAGGTTTAACAAGATGTCAGGCAAGGGCTTTGCAGAAAAGGATAGACAGGTTTGAATAGGTTTCTGACGCTGCTGCTGTTTGACTAATGTACACAGGCATCTCTCATGGTCAATACATTATGCTCTGGAAACAAAACAGATGTTTAAAGAAGTTTGTCCTGTTATAGAAGGGAAAAAAGGGTTTAGAAAGGGTGTAGTGAACTTCCCGGTAACAAGAAATTTATCCCTGCTAACGGTCTAGAAACAAGTGTTTCTGGTAAACAGCATACTCTGTCCATAGTGTCAGAATTATATAAACAACTATTTCTTGACCAGAGCTTAAAATACTAAACATAGTAATAATAAGTTTTCTAATAAGTTTTAATGTTCTAGTTTGTTTCTTATGTGTAAATAAAGCATAAAATAAGTTAATTTTATAAGATTATTTGAAAAAATAGACATTTTTAATTTGCCATACTCTTCACAATCTAAATGTAAGCATTATCTTAAAACCTTTTAAGAGCCAGTAACTATAAATGTTGATAAAACTTTAGTGTGATCTCCTATAGATTTCAAAAGATAGTATTAGAGTTTTATTGACAGACTTTTTATTGTTGTTTAACTCATTTAAATGACACATAAGCTCCATTAATTTTTTAACCTACTGGATTTCACAGTCTGAAAATAATGCTGGAAGTAAAAAAAAAATAACCTTTTAAAAACTCCTTTGTAAATTATTACTTTTAAATGTGTAACTGTTATTCCTTTAGTTCCTGTTAAGGGTCAGTTAGATACAGCGGAATGCATTGACATTTGGTTTTGCATTAGGCATGAACTGATCTAACCTGTTATCTTGATGAGAAATTTCATTTCTCTTGCCAGAACTAGTTGTTTTTTCATACCTATGTTTCAAAAGTAAAAAAACTGAAGCCTTGGATGTTTCCTTACTAAAACAGCACCCGCATACCAAACTTTCCTTCTGTTTGAGTCTGATCAGGCATGCTCTAAAGTCTCTGGGTAGAAAGATGTCACAGTATTTATATTCCTGCAAGGTGCAAAGTGGGTGACTAAATGTTCTGTTGTCCTCTTTATGTGCATTTGGTCAGACTTTTGTTGATAACTTTGAATTTGATTCTTTATAGAGTATGGATTTATACAAAAAAATAAAAAGTTTTTCTAAGTTATTTAATAGTGACAGTGCATTTGCTTTGTACTTTGAAACTTTACATAAAGCTGTCCATTTCCTGTTACATGATTTATGATGAAATTACACTTAAACTGTATTGTCAAATATTTCACTGAGAAGTAAACCTAACACAATTAGAGTCACACAGTAAAATCTAAGCTAAGGCCTCCACTGCCCCTCCACTTATCCAACAATATGAATAAGTTGGAATAATTGAAAAGGTTTATTTTTCTTCCCTACTACGGATGTTCTCATAACGCTCATCTTGTTGGGTCTTGGGGTATTGGACGGGTGGGCTTTTGTGTGTGCAGGCACACACACCTGTGTGCCTACATGTGAATGTGTGTGTTTGAGATTAACATGTTCATCTTTTTCCCATAGTGCCTACCACAGCTGTGACAATAACTTCTTCAGCTGAGCTGTTCAAAACCACAGTATCAACCACAAGCACTACTTCACAGAAAAGGCCCGTGAGCACGACTGTAGCTGGATCCCAGGAAGGAAGCAAAGGGACAAAACCACCTCCAGCGGTTTCTACAACCAAAGTCCCTCCTGTAACAAATATTTTTCCCCTGCCAGAGAGATTCTGCGAAGCATTAGAATCCAGGGGGATATGGTGGCCTCAGACACACAGGGGAGCGATGGTGGAACGGCCCTGCCCCAAGGGAACAAGAGGTATTTCCTGTAAAATATTATGGGTACATTTAAACATTTTACTTTAGGTAGATTCTGAATCGCACTGAAGTGATTTTTGCTTGAAGAAGAATATATTTACAGTAGCAAATATTTTTCTTCTTGTTACTTTAGTAATACAGCACATCTGTAGACAACTGAAAAAAAAAAAAAATCACTGCAGGTCAGATCCTTAATTACCTCCCCCTCTTAAAGTTTTAGGTCAAGCCTGAGGTCTTTGCCCATGGATTCATTCTAGTGTGCATTCCGTACAGCTGTCTTTTTCATTACAAGTATCATTTTGGATGAGTCCCAAGAAAATCAAGGGTTTTTTGTTGTTTGTTGGAAATGTCTGATATTTCTATGCTGACTTTATATTTATTGTTTTTTTGTCAATTATTGACAACTCCTTCCATTAGCATTATTCAAAATTTAGCACGCAGGGTAGGATCATCAGAGCTGATTTCCCGAATGCAAGCAGAAAAATGGTTTCAATTTCACCGTTGTTTCCTACATCTGCTGCAGGAACTGCCTCGTATCTCTGCATGGCTTCCACTGGAACATGGAACCCTAAGGGCCCTGATCTTAGCAACTGTACCTCACACTGGGTGAATCAGCTGGCTCAGAAGGTTGGTTAGAACCTTTATAATATGATACATATTGGTGATTAAGGGCTTTTACTTCTAACATAACTTAGCTTTGTCTGTTAAAACCAGCTTCATGACTCTTTGTTCAGGATAAAAGTAAAAAAAAAAAAAAGAAAAAAATCATGCATAGTTCTGTCTGTAAACTATTTATTCAAAGTTACATATGTTTTGAGGCATGCTGTTTTCTTTGTTAAGCTTTTTAATGAGTACATACTTGCTTAATTTTAATCATATTTAGTTAGTTCTGCTCCTTTTGATGTTTGTAAGACAAATAGTGCATTGGCCTAATAAATCAAATATCATTATGTTTGCAACTGAATCCACAGAATGTGAGCAGATGTTTATATCACAGATGATTATGATAGAATGAGTAAAAATATTTACAGTGGAATATAAGTAAAGAGATTTTACATTATAGTGGAATATAGTGACATTTTAGTTTCTCCTTTCCCATCTACCTTTGTGAAATGCAAGCAGTAGATAATAACCCTCAGTGTCCTACCGATTACATTCTGATTTACATTTCTGGATCATTGGGATAAATAAATTATTTTGAAACAGCAGTTTCAAATGGTTGCAGTGAAATTAAAGAGCTAGCTGAAAACATTTACAAAGGATTTCTGGTTTTCTTCCCGACCCCCATCCCCGCCCCTACCCCCCACTGCAACCTCCCTCCTTTTGTTTCTCTTTTAAATGTCTGGTAAGAATTTCTTTTGTGTGTTGAGGATCTAAGAACCTTTCATCATCTGAAATAAAGAGGACGTTATTGGTCTCAATTAGTTGCAGATTTTGACACATTTGTAAGTAAATTTTTCACCACAACAAAGATACTCAGGAGAAGAACAAGAAGCCACAAACAGAACAAGAAATCTTACTGAGATACTATACATTGGTATTTTAGATTAGAAGCGGAGAAAACGCTGCTAGTCTTGCCAATGAGCTGGCTAAACATACCAAAGGGCCGGTGTTTGCTGGGGATGTGAGTTCTTCAGTGAGACTGATGGAGCAGTTGGTGGACATTCTTGATGCACAGCTGCAGGAACTGAAACCGAGCGAGAAAGATTCGGCTGGACGGAGTTATAACAAAGTAAGTGGGCATTTTCTGTTGTTTATTCTGCTAGGCATCCTGTACGGCTGCTCTGGATTCTAATAGCAGTTGGCTGCCAAACCTCTGGCCCCTTTGAACATATGCTTAAAAAAGTGAAACCTCTCCTTTGGTTCATGTCCTGAGAAAGAATGACAGTTGAGAAAGGAGTAGTAACAACAACATTAAAAAGTTAGTTATCTGAGGGGTGACCTTAGCTGTTGTCAAACTTCACCTGCCTGTCTCTGGTCAGTAGTCTCACCTGAGAATGCATTTGGTGCGCTTGGAGAGATTCTGTGCAGAGACTGAGCTCTAGAACACATACTTTGTATACTCTCTTGGGGTTGCAACGTAACTGTGACAGGAAGATGAATGTTAGCCCCTGAAATACTGTTCTTAATGGCAGGCTTTTGGAAGAAGAACAAGTTTTCCCTTTCTAGGAGTAAAGTGTAATAGTACCATTAATTTTTCATACTATGCCAAAAATGTCATGGTTATTTTAACCATACTATAAAATAAGTGTTTCGATGAGATTCATACGGATCCACAATATGTGGCTAACATGGTTTTATAGGGTGGGAAAAAAATAGTCCTTTTTTTTTTTTTCCCTTCATTTTGACCACATACTTTGTTTCTAGTTTTATCAGGATGCTTTGGATTGGTGTACTTAAGTAACTCACAGTTAAAACCTCTTAAGTGCACAATTTTGGCAGTCAGCGCAGACTCATGGAATCCAGAAGTCTCAGGTGCCAATAAAATCTGAGCTGAGGAGCACCAGATAAATTTTTGAGGATTTCTTCTTTCCTCGTTTTCAACAGTCAAAATCTAACCTCTGATTTTCTTTCCTTTTACTAAAAAGCTCCAAAAACGAGAGAAGACATGCAGGGCTTACCTTAAGGTATCTCTCCTGTGCTGTCACCCTGCTTTCTCCCTCCTCCAGCTACTTGCCACGCTTTATCATCTTGCTGCATGATCCAATGTATTTCAGTCTTTGATAATTATATAATGTGCCCCATATCAGCTGTACAAATGTTGGCTTTTCACAGGTATATTACTCTCAGAATAAGCAAATCCTTTTTAAAAAACAATGTTTGCATTTTTTCCAGTTCATCCAAATGTACAAGAATTTTAATGAAATACCCTCTGAATTGGAAACTAATTATATAGCCTCCTTGTCTTTGGTTGTCATCTCTATGGATTAAAAACAAACAAACAAACAAAAAAACACCACAATCTGCATAGTAACACAGCTATGATATAGTCTTGGCAGTTTATCCTATCAAAGACTGTATAGTTATAATGTATGTGCATGAAAAAGTCACTGCTTTCTTATCTGGGGTATACTCGTCAATAAAATAGGCTTTATCCTGAAAATTTCGGGGTCATTTCTAGAACCAGGTTGATATCGGGAAAGGTTACTAGAAATGAAAAGTGACTGTGCTACCGATAAGTGTTGTATGATATGTTGGTTTTCCTCAGGCTGTTCTGAACAGAAAGCCACCGTTTGGTTGAGAATCCTTGTCTGTTCCAGCCAGTTTTTCTCCTGGGTAAATTCCAAGTAATAGGAAACATGCTGAGTGAGGCTAACAGTAGAATTATGCCATGCTAGTTCTATGTGATAGGTCAGAATAATAATACTAGATTGCATTTTTTGTTTCATTCTGAATTTTAAATATTCTTTTTTGTGGGGGGGAGTTACTTTCTAATCTTGCTCATCTAAGGACCATATCACTAATAGGTCAAACCTAATTCCTATATATGTGACAATAAAACAAAGAACTTACAATTTTTGTAGAACAGAGGTTATTTGAAGCTGGGGCGTCTATTTTTTTGGCAAGGTCTAGAAAGAAAAGAAAAGAAAAAAAAAGAATGGTATCCCACTAGTTACAAATAGATATTGTAGTATCTTCTAATTTTATAAGAAGAGGTGGTGGAAAAGTCTGCTTTTAGGTAGTAATATTCTGAAAGTCCCTCTTTACCCTTTTCAATGGGGACAAAGAAATAATTGCTCAAGAGTATAGAAGTTGTCATACTGAAGTTTCAGTTCACCTTAAAGGTATTAGTTAATGTGTAAAATGTAATAATTGGGATGTTGCCCAGGACATACATTTCAGTTGGAAGAAACTAGCTTTTTTTCTTTGGCAGGGAGAGACTACTTCAGGAATAAAATCTAATGATCATTTTGATTCCATGAGAAAAGTGCTAATGATAATAAATAAGGAGTGTTTCAGATTCATAAAGCCATGCCATCGGTGTATACACAGTAAATTTCAGCTTGACCTTAATTTCTGGCCAGTGTCATTTTCAGCATGTCACAAATGGCTTCCTTTGTTCAGATAAGACTAATAAAACACCTTAAATTACAATGAGAAGCAGACTTACACTATGCAAATGAAGCGGTTTCCTGTTTTGTGACAAAGGATTTATTTGTAACTTAGATTAGTAGAGGCTTCAGTCTGTATTTGTGGTGACTAATGAATCTATCCTCAGCAGACCAATTTATGTTCCATTCTGGTTAATGGCTGCGCCAGTATCAATGTGAGCGTTTTGAGTATTCTATCTCCCCTTAGAGGAAGAAAAAAGCCTTTGACGTTTCTTGAAAGTATCTTCACCTGCCTGGAAGGTTGTGGTGGCTCACTAGGCAGACAGAAGGAGGATATTAAGATGGATTAAGCTAATTAATCTTGCTCTGGCAGTAGCCTCAAACAACATTCCTCCCCTGCTCATTTTAAGATAGCACCTCAAACTAGCAATTTTTGGTGGTGGTCTTTGTACAGTCTATGTTCTTTTCCCATCTGTGATTGCCAGTAGATCAAAACAGTTTAGATACAGCCTAATGACACCTTAGGACTAGGTAAACAGGGTAGAATAAATAAACTTAGTGATTTCAGTTATCCAAGCCATTGTGAGTGTAGAGCTATGGGAACTATCAGTACAAAAGCCTGCCTTCAGTTGCTTAACTGACTGGGTTATATTTTTATTTAATGTTATTTTTGCATAACAATAAATGAAACCTACATATGTGAATATTTATAACCTGGATGCTTATGAAGGATTTATTCTGCCTTTCTGTTTCCATTATATTATTAGTATATAGGCTTTACATATTTTGGTTGCTTTATTGGTTCCTTTCAAAACACATCCTTGTTTATGAATTAAAGTATACTCTCAAGTGGTTTTTTTTTTTTTTTAGCTGGACAGGGAATTAGAAGAGTGAATTATGTTCAGAGATAATTTACAGATTTTGAAATCATCTTGTTTTTTTGTCCCAATGATAACAAACATTATTATAAGGCACAGTTTTAGTTATTAAATTTGAGTTCATGTTCCAAAAAATAATGTCTTACTTTCCAAACATAACTATTAGGCTACTCCAGAGGCATCCATGTTTGCTCTTTAGAACATTCCAGCCTTGAGGTTATAAGTAGGAATGGCTATGCATGTAAGAGGAATATCTCAGGTTAAGAGCTGACTCTGGCTGTATTTCTTTTCAACAACTGAGATGATTAGATAAACAGAAAAGCCACCTTTTTACACATACTCTTTATAATCAAATAGTAGTCTACTAATCCTCAACCATTCCTATTCTGAAATAGTCAGATATGTTACAAGTTGACCAGATATATGTTGTCCAGGTGTTCTTCCATCTTAAAATTAGAGTAAATCATCATGACAGATAAATATTACAATTGTCACTAGTCAGTGATTAAAAATCACCTTGGTACTACAAGCAGTCAAAACGAATGATGGTTTTTCTAACTGATGCAGGCAATTGTTGACACAGTGGACAACCTTCTGAAACCTGAAGCTTTGGAATCGTGGAAACACATGAATTCTTCCGAACAAGCGCATACAGCAACGATGTTATTGGATACGTTGGAAGAAGGGGCTTTTGTCCTGGCAGATAATCTGGTAGAACCAACCAGAGTCTCAATGCCCACAGAAAATATTGGTAAGTGAACCTGCTGCCAGGCTTAATCTTTGATTTAGAAGATAGATGTTTAAGATAATGATGTTTCCATTCTGAACCTGTTATTTCCCAGTGGGCATCATCTCTTCTTTGGAAATATTTTTGTCGATTAATAAGAGATATTATTGATCACATTTCATAAACTTAATTCAGAAGCCAACACCTTTTCTATATCTTTTAAAAGTTGGTATCGTGTGTGTGTGTGTGTGTGTTGTTTTTATTGCCTATTGAAAAATCATTAAAGGAAAAATGTGTTAGAGAACTTAAATGCCTGAATATGGATTGCTTAAGTAATGGAAGTGCTTGCTATGGAACTGTGGCAAACGCTTTTCCATTTCATATAGTATGTTCCTAATGAATTTAAATTACTTTCTGGAATGTGTTCTCCCAGTCAAATATTTTAGACAAACAATTTGAGCCAAATGTTTATATTAAACACAACTGCCTTTAGGTGAAAATGTGATCAGTGAGCTACAACTTCCATATAGTAAAATAGCCATGCTTCATAGATTGCAAAATAGCTGCAGATAGTTTTGAAGCATGATTTAGAATTTGAAGGCTGGCAACAAGAAGCAGGAATTAACTTGTGATACTTGAAAGAAGTACAGTAATATAAATTTAGGTTTGACTGATTTAGAAGTGTTGCTCATTCAGTGGCTTTGAGTTTAAAGTTTTATAATATCCCTTAGTAAATAAAGTAAAAAAGTTTTCCAAGCATAAATATAAAAAATAAAACCCAGAAGGGATCATAGACTAATCTTTCACCAAAGGAGTATATATCTGAAACAGTGGATATTGAATGAAGTTTTGCTATCTGGGATGCCATATCTTATTACCTAATTGTGTCTGCCTAAATCATGGAACTTTATATTAGAAAATGTAGAAATGTAAAGTATATAGAAGAAATAGACATTAATCAGATTGTGAAACTTGGATTTCAATTCAAAACTTTAAATAGATTTAAATAAATGAATATCTACAGAGATGGTAATGTTAAAAATCATGTTTTTTTTTTTTATTTACTGTGACATTTTAGAGTGACAAATAACCCAGTAACTTCAAATTAAATGAAGTCAAAATAATTTGGCTTGACATGATCTGGGAGACCAGTCATAAGGAAAAATGATACCTACCATAGCCTTAGGAATGAATAAAGCTCCCCGTCTATAAAGCTTTTATTATTTCTGAGGTTAATTTATTTACTAATCTAATGAAATTCCTAAGATATACCTTAAATGAGTCTTCTCCAATGTTTCCAGTTATGTTCTTGTAAGGATAAAAAAGTATAGACTTGATCATCTTAGAGGATGAGTCATGGAAAATGTTATGACATCAATTTGTTTTTTTCTGAGTCTACTAAAAGTTATATTTAAAACAAAAAGAAGAAAAAAACCTAAAATTTCCTTCTTATGCTCCTCTCGAGTGTGCCAGAAAATCTGACAGGTCAGGTTGATAATCTATGCTCCCATTAGCCTCGCATAATGTAGATAACGCTTATTATATGTCCCAGATAGTTTTAGCTCAATTTGAGACATAGTCTGAAAATTTGAGTGTTTAGGTATATATTTTTTCCAACACCTATGTTTTTTTTAGAGTTCTAAAGGAGTATGTTTTATACTTAAAAAATGTTGTTGTTTTTTTAAAAAGGAACATTATGGGTGGAGATTCTTATAGAATGTAATACACATGTTTTACTTCTCAAAAACAATGCCCTGAACTTAATGAATACATATATTGATTATCCAAGTAATTATCACTGTGAAAGTCATTTTACATATTCTCATATAGTATATCTTTATTTCTAAGATAAAAAGAATTTTGTGATAAATGTTATACATGAGTTAGTATGAAGTATACATTCAACTTATTTTCATGTTAGACAGAGGACTAAAGGACTAAAATGGCCCATTATCCTTTTGTGTTCTCACCCTCTTGATGCTCTTACCTAAATTTAGAATGTAGTTACAAAGTCTTTGGTTATTAAAACAATTTGTTTTTTCTCCTTAGTAATTTCCCCTTCAGTCCTTAATGTACTTTATTGCATGGTTTACCCTTATGTATAACTTTATAAAAATAGTATAATTATATCTACTATAATTATATCTGGTATAGCTTTTAAAAGTCAACTTTGAGTTATATCTTATCTTATATACAATAAGAACGGCTGTACAGTTCGATGAGTTTGGATAAATGTACACCTACCTAACTAACAGCATGGCCAGCATTTCTACCACCTCAAAAGGGTTCTTTATGCTCTTTTCCAGTCAGTTTCTTGGTATCCCCAGCTCCAGACAACCGCTGATCTGTTTTCTGTCACTGTAGTTTAGTTTTGCTTTTTCTGGACCTTTAGTTGAATGGAATCATATAATATATGATTTTGTTCTTCCTTATCAGAATAATGTTTTTGAGATTCACCCATGTTAATGTGAGCATCAGCAATTCCGTCCTTTTCATTGCCTAGTAGTATTTCATCATAAGGACATACCACTAGTGGTGTATTACTCACTTGTTAGACATTTCGGTAATTTCCACTTTTTGACTGCAAAGTTATTAAAGCTGCTCTTTTCCCAAGTCATTGTACCATTTTTTACTCTTAACAACAGGGAGAGTTCCAGTTGCCCATATTTTCACCAACATTTAGGTTTGTCTTCTCAAATGTCTTTTCAATTTTAGTCTGGTGGCATCTCATTTTGGTTTTATTTTGCATTTGTTTGATTGTTAAGTTACATTTTATTGGTAATTGTTTAACTTTTCAGGCGCACTTATTGGCCTTTCATATATTTTTTTGTGAAGTGTCTGTTCATGTCTTTTGCTAATTTTTAATTAGATTGTTGGTCTTTTTAGTAATAAGCTACAAAGATTATATATTCTTGATACAAATCTTTTGTCAAGTGTATATACTCTGAATGTTTTCCCTCAGTATGTGATTTTAAAAGAATATTTTTAATGATACCTTGAGAGAAGCAGTTTTTAATTCAACATCTAAGCTAATCCTGTTTCACTTATTCTTCTTGTCATTGTTATTCTTGTAACATATTATTATTACTGTAAATACTTTGGTAAATATCCTATTTTTTTTCCAAGAAAACACAATGTCACTTTTATACTTCAAAATTTAAAAAAAAATTGCTTCAAAAGATAACAAACATGTGCTTAAATTTTATTTGATTCTTATAAATTTGTTAATACTTGATTTTTATAAGTTCATGTCAGACATTTGACTAATACAATGATTTAGTCTCTTTAATTAAAAAATACATAGTTATTTTTTAAAACCATTTTCATTTTTGTTGAAGAAATTGAGCGAGTAATTGGTTCTGTAAAATACCCCACATTTTGGACTTGGCTTATTTCATCCTTCTGATATCACTTTATCATGAATGATATATACTGAAAATTTTATCAGGAGGCTTGATCAGGTCAAATTTAAGTCTCTTTTCTCCCCTCCCTCCCCCAGAACTTTCTGTTGAATCCTAGTCAAGAGGCACATGTTTACTTGTCTTTGTATCTTGCCATTGATTAGGTGTTTAAGTATTATCCATTATAAAATTCACTATCATTTATTCTCCCAATTTGCTTAGCAGCCAGCATGATTCTATGTCAGTTTAAGCTTAGTTGCATTGCAGAAACAAAATGCCCAAAGTCATGGCAGCTCACAACAACAAAGGGTTATACTCATCATGCTGAGTCACCATTGTAGGCTGGGCTATGGCGCTGCTCCCTGTCATCTTCTGTGGGCTCCCAGTTATGTTTACCCTAGACGCAGGGTGATGGAGCTTACACTGTGATGGGTCTGCTGGCAGAAGCAGTAGTTATCCCTCTATGCTCTTACTTTTCTCCACTTCTCTTCTCATTCCACTCAGTACTGTGACAAATTTGAAAAATAGAACAAAGAAATGCATTAAAATTCTACCTACAGCATTGGTTGTGAGTGAGGCTCTGGGTGGCTCTCCTATGAATCAAGTGGATTCAATTTCAGGAGATTTATTGAGCAAAGCATATATTATTTCAAGCATACAGAAGTAGATGCTTTTATATACAATTCTGGGTCTCCTCTTTCTTGATCAGATCAAGAAGGAAGTGACCATCATCTTTAAATTACTTGTTGACATTGGTAAGCTTTTTTTTTTTTTTTTTAATGTTGCTCTATGGGAAATGTACATATAACAGCTACTTTTTGTTTCTCAAGTTGAGATTTCACGCTACAAATGTAATGGAGTAATTTTCCTCTACTGTGATCATTTTCATGTTTATGCAGATTAATACATGCATCTCTGGTGCATTTATCTGATCTAAGAAGACTTTACTGTTATTTAATTGTGCCAGTGATAGGTACTTCAGTGGTTTATGTGTTTTTCCCGGTCCTTTAAGAAAACTGCAGTGAGAGTTTTTGTGTCTTCTTGTTCATATGTATGCCTTCTAGACATATATGTACATATATACTTAGAAATAGAATTTTTGAGTCTTAGAGCATGCCCATCTTCGACTTTACTAAATACTGCCAAATTGCTTTCTAATGCAGTTTTACCAGTTTACATTCTCACCTGTAATACCATTATTCCCAGCCACTGTCTTTGTTAACACTTTGTTATTGACACAAACATTGTCATTGTAATAGGTTTGACTTGATCACATTATTGTTTTAATTTGCAGTTCTTTGACTACTTAATGCACTTATTGTTTTGTTTGTTTTTTTCCTTTTCTCTCCAGTAAATTGTTGTCTACAACTTTTTCCTATATACCTCTTTCACTATGAATAATATCTTTTTAAGAAATATTTTCTTTTTAATAAGTATTTTCTTTTTTGGTGTTTTGCTCAAGAAAATCTCTATTTGACAGTTATAAAGGTCTTGTGTTTTCTTTGGAAATTATAAAACTTTCCTCTTTTACAATTATGCTTTTAATCCACCTGAAATTAACTTTTGTTTATGTATGTGGGAAGTAACTAATTTGATTATGTTCTCCATGTGGATAATCAGTTGTTCAATACTTTCATTTGTAGTTATATAATCCATTCCTTTGCCTATTAGTTTATAATGATACCTCAGTCATATATCAAGTTTATGTCCATGTTAGGAGTATGTGTTAGACGTCTCTGCTTTGATTTTGTTTCAATACTATTACTGTCTGGTGAGTTCTTCCAGTTCTGTTCTATGAGGAATTAATTGCCTTGCCTGCTTTTGGAGTGGCTCCCTCACGTGAAATTCAAAATCAGATTGCCAAGTTATTCGTACTCAAAAAAATCTTGTCGGAATTTTTATTAGAATTGGACTTCAGTTTATAGGTTGATTTTAAAAGAAGTGTCACAAATTTATTGTGTTCTCCTAAGTAAGATTATAAAAAATCCTTCATTTGTTATTAGATCTTCTAATAAAGTTCTGTGTGTGTTTTCCCCCCATTAATATCTTGTACTTTTCTTTCATTAGCTTTATTCATTGGGAACTATACTATTTATTTTTATTGTAATTAAGATAAAATTTTATTAACTTTAATTCTTCTAAAATTGCATGTTCTAATTGTTACTTGGTCTATAGGAACACAGTTAATTGTGCTGACTGCAGCCTTGCCAAATTCTTTTTTCTTTTTAGAGTGTATGGAGTCTCCCTCAAGATTACTATGTTGATAATAACATTTTCTGTAAATAATAACACTTTGCTTTTTCCTTCCAGTCTTTATAGCTTTTATTTTTCTTAAATTGCTGCGTTAGCTCTCCTTTTAGTACAGTGCTAAATAAAACCTGTGATAGGGGTCATCCTGACTCTAAACGGAAGGCTCCCAGAGTTTTTCCCCATGCTCTAAGTTTAGAAAGGAACCCATTATCTGACACCAAAACCTTTATCTGAGAAAAAAAAAAATTTCATTCCTGTTTTTTTGTAAAGATTTCTTATATTGAATGAGTATTAGAATTTGCTTAATCCTTTCTGCTTAATATTAATTTGGTAAATTACATTACTATATATTTTTTAAAAATATATTTTTATTGATTTCAGAGAGGAAGGGCGAGAGACAGAGAGATAGAAATAGAAACATCAATGGTGTGAATCGTTGATTGGCTGCCTCCGGCATGTCCCCCACTGGGGTTCAAGCCCACAACCTGGGCATGTGCCCTGAGAATCCAGCCATGACCTCCTTGTTCATAAGTCGATGCTCAACCACTGAGCCCCCTCCATTAATATATTTTCTAATGCTTTAATTTCTGGAAGATTTTTTGAGTTAAACTCAGTTTGTTCAGGATGTTGTACTTAAAAGTATGTATAAACTTACTAAATACTTTTGCATTTATGTATTTAATAGTTTAAACTCTAATAAGTAAATATTTGTTGAATGAAATTAACTCTTTGTACATGTATATTTGTATTTGAAACATTTCATGAAACTTAAGAGGAGTTCCTTTTTTCATCCTGTCTTCCATCTTGTTTTGAGAATAGTAGAGTGCCTTTCAGTGAAAGGAAAAGTGAGTTATATATTAGTTGCATATTTTTTTAATATATTTTATTGATTTTGTACAGAGAGGAAGGTAGAGAGATAGAGAGTTAGAAACATCGATGAGAGTCATCGATCAGCTGCCTCTTGCACACCCCCTACTGGGGATATGCCCACAACCAAGGTACATGCCCTTGACCGGAATCGAACTGGGTCCCTTCTATCCCCAAGCCGACACACTATCCATTGAGCCAAACCGATCTCGGATAGATGCATATTTTTGTAACTCTTCTTTCCCCCTTACTCCCTGACCCAAATACATGGAATCTGATATGAGGAGAGACCATTTACCAGCTCACCAGCTTAATCTTTCTAAGCATGGATCAATAAAATAAGTATCTCAGCCAACCTCTTCAGCTGATAGACTTCTAGGAGTTATACGACTCTCATTATAAACTTGTATTTTAGATGTTTGACGTGTGGTCTGATAGCTTATATAAATCTCCCAGCATTATAATTTTATATTTACAAATAAATCTATATGTATTTTATAAGACAAAGTTGTGACAGATAAAAAGTAAAAAAAAAAAATATTGTTATTCAAGAGCTACTCTATATTGGCATAAGCCCATTTTGTAAAAAGAAAGGGAGTAAATGCATCATCGTATGTGTGTATGTGAACATAGGTGTTTAAGTATTGAAATAACTATACAAGGATATATACACCATTAGAGAAAGTGTACTTTGGAAAAATATATATAAACTTTATTTATAAATTATTTAGAGTATGTGTTACCCTTAGTTGACAAACTTTTATTGTGAAAGCCCAAATAGTATATATTTTAGGCTTCTCAGTCCATGTGGTCTAAGTTGCAAATATTTAACTGGCATTGTAGCACCAAAGCAGCCATAAGACAAAATGTAAACATGGCTGTGTTCCAATAAAACTTTATTTCCAAAAGCAGGTGTTAGGCCAGATTTGACACACAGGGCCTATTTTTCCCAACATAAATATGTACAGATTGATTGTTACTAGTGAAAATTAATGGGGTGTTTTAATACCTTGCCATACATTTTTCTCATAAGTAAACTTAGCTGCTCTTACCACTTTTAGAAATTAGAGAAAAATCTATTACTCCAAAACTGACCTGTGGAGTCTTCTGTATTAAAACATATCTTATACATGTAAATGCATACTAATACATGCAATAGAGACATTCAGATTTATACTTCATAGTTTTTACCCTTGACAAGCAAATAACCATTGAAATGTTTTTTAACATAAAGAGACAAGATATCATTTTGAAATATTTTTGTTTAATCATTTAAATACTACACTGAACATTTTGTATTATAAATTCACATATTATTCCTATTCATAGGCTAAAAGTCTGGAATTGATTCATGACAAAAATATAAACCTAAAAGAAAATGCTTACACGAAATATATGAAATCCATCAAAATGATTATGTGAAATTTTTCAGAATACTCAAGTTATAAGAACTTCTTAGAGTAATTTGGTTCATATTTTGTTGAGCTCTAACAGTAAAGTTTTGTAAGCAGATAAAAAGAAACGGTGGTTTTTATGCAACTATCATTTGCTCTTTGTAGTTTAAAGAATGCCTCCTCATCCCTCCTCCTTTATTCCTTTGCCTCACGCAGTCCTGGAAGTTGCTGTTCTCAGTACGGAAGGACAGGTTCAGGACTTCAAATTTCCTCTGGGCATCAAAGGGGCAGGCAGCTCAATCCAGCTCTCTGCAAACACGGTCAAACAGAACAGCAGGAACGGTAAGGTGGAACGGTCTTTAAAAACTGACAGGCTGTTTTTTTTTGTTGTTGTTGTTGTTCACATAAACCTGTCAGGTCTAAAAATGCTGAGTATTTGACTTCTGATATAACAAATACACCTTAACATTTAACAGCAGATTTAAAATAATGCCTTACTGTTTCCCAGTGAACTCAATCGAAATAAAAATTTCCCATCAGGATTTTTTTCATCTTATTTTTATTTTAATGTATATCTTTTCTTTTTCTTTAATTCATAAGTGTGTGTCCATGTGTTTCCTGTAAGTTGTGTGACTGCTTTTACTCTCCTAGGGCTTGCAAAGTTGGTGTTCATCATTTACCGGAGCCTGGGACAGTTCCTCAGTACAGAAAATGCAACCATAAAACTGGGTGCTGACTTTATTGGTCGCAATAGCACCATTGCAGTGAATTCCCACGTCATTTCGGTTTCAATCAATAAAGAATCCAGCCGAGTGTACTTGACAGATCCTGTGCTTTTTACCCTGCCACACATTGATGTAAGTCATGTATGTTAAGGAAGTTGCAGAAGGTTAGAAAACCAGTGATGAAGGGAAAGCAAAGCCGACCTGCTGGGGATGGGGAGAAGGGATATGAGGAGATGGCGGAGTGGAAAGAAAGGATCTTGCCTTTAGAATTTCAAATGTTGGACTAGGTCAGAAGGAAAGTTTATTTAAGTCTGGGAACATAAAATTAAGTGAGGTTCAGTGCTTATTACAACTTAAATGTATTTTTAATGAAAGCTAACACAGTAATCAACAGGAAAATGTAAATGACTATAATTGGTTTCAGAATGAAAATCAGCTCTTACCTTAGCAGCAGGAGAGCCCAGTGTTAACTGACAGAACTCTGCCTGTTTAGTGTGCCAGATCTCGTTCTCTTTTTTCTGATCATATTTGACCAAGTTATCAAGCCCGGATATTATCAAATCTAGGATGGAAGAGATAGACCTTAGAATGCAAGACCTTAGAATGACACTGTGTTGGGATACTGAAGAATTTGGGCTGTTGCTATACATAGAGTGAATATGCGCTCACAGAGAACCCAGTGGACCTCCAGAATTGGCAAAGAAAAATATACCTATGTGGCTATTCATTTCTTATATCTGCTGCGGTTGATTCAGTCTTCTAAGAATCCTGAAGTTGTAAAAGTGTCACTGAGAACGAACATGAGCCCTACATGGGCAATGGATTTTAAAACACTTGGTTCTTACAGAGTTTTCTTAGAACAAATCCATGGGTATAATTTTGTCAGGAAAGGAAAAGAAATGGTTCTAATGTGTGATCAATGTATAAAACCATAAGATGGAACTTGTAATTGTGTAAAATGGATCTTTAGTAATTTAGGGGACACTTTAGAGTGTTTCGGACTATAAAGCTCCTCTTAAGTTAGATATCTGCCTTGCATAGCGTAGCCTACAATTTGGCTGATGAAAATTTTTATAGTCTGAAACTTACAAAGTTTAATCTAAATTACCTTTTACACATATTAAACAATTGCTATTGCCATGCTAGAGTGTAAAAATCCTAATTTTATCTTGTCACTTTATTTCCCAGCCTGACAATTACTTCAATGCAAACTGCTCCTTCTGGAACTACTCAGAGAGAACTATGATGGGATATTGGTCTACCCAGGGCTGCAAGCTGGTTGACACTAATAAAACTCGTACAACGTGTGCATGCAGCCACCTAACCAATTTTGCAATCCTTATGGCCCACAGGGAAATTGCAGTAAGTATTTTCATTAGGAGCAGAGAAAAACCTCAGAGATACAAAACAGCTTCTGTGACAATCCCTTCTTTGGGTGCTAATCAAACAAAGTAATGTGAATTTGTTATTGTTGCTACACTGGCCATATATTTTAGGAAGCCTTGGCATTATATTGTTACTTCTCATAATCAGGTGCTTTGCAGACTTATTTTGAGTTTTCATCCTTTGGGCAGGTGTTTGGCAGAGGTGGTCAAGGATTGAAAGGGGCCATACTAAAGAGAGAGGGCTTTAAGGTTTCATACCCTCCTCCTCTTGAATGTTCAAATCTTACTTCACAACTTTTAAGTTCCCCAATTATTTTGCTCACTGCAAAACTGCAGATTTTGAAAGGTCAGAGAATGGTATCTGGAATGTTCCTTAGTATTTCTTTATGTGATTAAGAAAAAGAAAAAAAGCCAGAAGATAAAAATACTTAAGAAACATAGCATGAAAGCTCTCAGAACTGTTGTGTACTGTGTCTTAGTATAAAATCTATAATAATAAAAGCATAATATGCTAATTAGGCCAGATGTCCTTCTGGATGACCCTCTGGGTGAAGCCAGGGCTGCAAGGGAAGCCCTGGCCCCCGGTGCCTCCTGGGGCTGGAAGGAAGCCTGGGTCTTGAATGCCAGGGGGAAGCCAGTGCTGGCAGAGGTGGGAAGGAAGGGCCTACTCTTGCACGAATTTCAGGCATTGGGCCTCTAGTATAATATAAATACCCAAACCGAAAGTTACAACGTAAAATTTGACTCATATGTAAGCTAGGAAAGTTATTTAAATACCAACTGTATTTTTTTATCATAACTAAATATCCTTTATTATTTTATATTTTCTATGTTTATTTAGGTAATCTCAATCATTTTGAAATAATTGGATTTCTAGTAAATTCTTCCACTTCCATAGGTCATCTTTGGATATAAATATTGACTGTATTGTAAGATCAATATTTCTTTTTTAGTATTGAGCCCTGTTTGAGCACACATGACTGTCCAGGGGGTTTAATATTAAAAGATGAGCTATTACATGTGAAAACTATCTCACCTTGAGTTGATGCAATGAGGAATATTAACATTTATTTATGTTTTTATTTTCAGTACAAAGATGGAGTTCACGAATTACTCCTGACAGTCATCACCTGGGTGGGAATTGTCATTTCCCTTGTTTGCCTGGCTATCTGCATTTTCACCTTCTGCTTTTTCCGTGGTCTCCAGAGTGACCGTAATACAATTCACAAGAACCTTTGTATCAACCTTTTCATTGCTGAATTTATTTTTCTAATAGGCATTGATAAGACAGACTACATGGTAAGCACCCCTTCAGTTTATTGACCTTGAATCTCTGAAAATTATGATGACAAGTGTGAATCCCCTCATCCTTGTATGCTGATATTAATATTTGACCTTGTTAGCAGTCTAATTGACATGGCACAATTGAACGATAATTTGTAGTAAATTAGAAGGCAGCCCAATCATTAAGAAAAATTATGAGTTCATTCATTCCTCATATCAAGGTACAGTTGACATTTTTCTGTGTTGTTACTAAGACACATAATTTGGTTAGAAGAATGCTGGGATACTGAAATGGAAAGGTTCTGTTTTTATCATTTTAATTTTCTCACATAGTTATTCTGACCAGTGATCATTTATTTGTATTCTGAGCACTTTATTCATTATGACTTTCCTGTGTTATGAACAGAAGTTAACAATTAGTTAACTTTCGCCCTATATTCATCTAAAGGACTGAATTTAAGAATCCTTTACTTATGACAAGAAAGTAATATTAGGTAATTAGAGCTGGAGTATTTGTCATTAAAGCAAATTTTTTAAATTCTGGAATAGAAAAACATAGAAATAGAATATATGGAAACAACTGTTCTATAATGAAACAGATCATCTGCAAGTAGAATACTAAGAGTTAATCGTGGCCGAAACCGGTTTGGCTCAGCGGTAGAGCCTTGGTCTGCAGACTGAAAGGTCCCAGGTTCGATTCTGGTCAAGGGCAAGTACACTGGTTGCGGGCACATCCCCGGTAGGGAGTGTGCAAGAGGCAGCTGGTCGATGTTTCTCTGTCATCGACGTTTCTAGCTCTCTATCTCTCTCCCTTCCTCTCTGTAAAAAATCAATAAAATATATATTTTTTAAAAAAGAGTTAATCATGAATAATTCTAGAAGAGAAATTAAGATGCTTTTTTATTTCTTTAATCTTTTAAAACTTTCACTACAAATCGTAATGCTTTAGAGTGGTACAATTTCTAGCACACCTGGCATTATACTATAAGCACTAATTACACTTTCCAAATTTGGCAGTGTTTGTAACTCATTTCCATTTTGGGGGAAAAAGAATTAAAGAAGCAGTATATAAATAATGATATATTTTTAAGGATAGTAGTGAGCACCATCAGTGACTGTTTTACAATTCTGAAGTGGACTGTTGACATTCATGTGTTCTTCTTTTGGTTTTGTTTTTTTCTTTTCCTTTATAGATTGCATGCTCAATATTTGCAGGACTTCTACACTTTTTCTTTTTGGCTGCTTTTGCCTGGATGTGCTTAGAAGGTGTGCAGCTCTATCTAATGTTAGTTGAAGTTTTTGAAAGTGAATATTCAAGGAAGAAATATTACTATGTTGCTGGTTACTTGTTTCCTGCCACTGTGGTTGGCGTTTCAGCTGCTATTGACTATAAGAGCTATGGAACAGAAAAAGCGTAAGTAATTGCAAGCGACCTGAGTGTTTTTCAAGTGAATAATTTTTTAAAGCCTGTTAGCTGTCAGTGAGGTTCCCTGACTAAAATAGCCTCTGAAAGCTTTATTGGAAGAGAATGGGCATGCCGTGTGCAAATTACAATCAAGTCTTTTGTAATTTTCTAGGTTCAGAGGATTTGTACTCTGGTGAGGCAGATTCTAAATTATGGACTTTCTTTTTTAATACAAAAGATTGACCTGAAACAAATTGAAAAAGTAAATAACTTTTTGGCCTTAGAAAGATATTAAGAGAAATCCTTCTGAACTTAAAGCATCTGACAGGCCTAACGACTCAGTTTTAAGCTAATGCTTCATTAGTTCTCTTTGTGCAGCCAGCCCTCCAGCTAACTCGCGTTCTGAATTGTGACAGTAGCACATTCCTTCCCATATGTTTTACTTTGATAATATTTTATCAGGCCGTTTGAAAGGATTATAATAAGGCACTGTCTTTCATTTATAAAAATATAGATATTTATGGAAAGTGACAGAAAGTAGGACATAGCCATGTTTCTAAGGACTTTATTTGCTAGAGGCATGAATTTGCCTTCTAATTCTGTTTATTTTTTCCTTTGATAAAATTAGTTATATAAAGATTCTTTTGACGAAAGAAAGCTTTTTTTTTTTTTTTTTTTTTTTTTTGACTGTACAGATGATGAAAGACAAATAAAAGAAATTCAGTGGGGATTCAGTGTTATGTAAAAAATGAACCACTAAGTAAAATCTGTCTTAATAAGTTTATGCATAATTTACTCTTAATACTATATGCATCTATGCTTTGAATTCTCTTCCCCCCTCCCCAATATTTTCCATTCCCAGGTGAGGTATTTTATTTATGCTATGCAGTTTTGTAACAAACATATGCATTATTTGTCTATTATGTTTCCTAGGATTAAGCAATTTAGCTCACATATAGATCTGAAAGGCAACAATTGAAAATAGTTTTAAAATGATGAGACAATTTGGAATATTGAGTTTCAAGTTTTTCTTAGTAAAGTCAGTGATCTTAAGAATTAGAGATTGGGGTATGGTGGGGCTTATTATTCCCTTATACAAACATAACTACGTCTTGATCAAATTTAAAACCTGAAATGAAAACCAGTAGTTTGAAGTAAATATATTGCTATTTTTGGCCTAGAATTAATAAAATTGTTCTTGCCCATGATAAATGAATTTTCAAAGGCAAATGTAAATGCAGTTTTATCATATTTTAAAATGTATATTTTTCTTGTCATGTTGAGTATCCATTGAAGCTACTTATTACATTTCTTTTTCCATAATAGTTGCTGGCTTCATGTTGATAATTATTTCATATGGAGTTTCATTGGACCTGTTACTTTCATTATTCTGGTAAGCAGGCCCTACTTTCCTTTCTTTTTTTGGCTTGCTGCTTTAGCAGTACTATTGAAAAGGGAATACTTTGTTTGATTGTTTTTATCTATGCCTTCAATGATTATAAACCCATCTAGCTTATGGGATAAAATTATACAGTATATTTTAAATATTATACCATTATTGAGAGTTTATACACTTACTAATTAGTAGTCTCTCCTGTAAAATGTACTTTTTCTTATTTTTAATTTAGTTTGATAAAAAAGTCATGTCATAATCTTTGAAAATCTACTCACATATAAAACATGTTAAGGTTGCATGGTTTGAAACTAGATTAATAATTACAAAGGAATAACTGATACATATAGCATATTTTATTTTTAAGTAGTGGAGTGTTTTTGCTAAGAGTTTGAAATCAGGAAATTCTGTCTCCAAAATCTATAATATTAGTGTTGTACCAAGCCTATATGGCATTTATGAATTAATGTTTTATGAAAGTGAAAGAAAATTAGGTTAATATTTACTATCTTAATTTTCACACAGTAATTTAGTGCTTTTAAATAAATGTCCATATCCTGAGTTCTTTTTAGAGTAGTTTTTTTTTTAATTTTATTTTTCAATTACAGTTTGCATTCAATATTGTTTTGTATGAGTTTCAGAGAACAGACTGTTGGTTGCTAGAGTGGAGGCACTTTGGGGGTGAAAGAGTGAAGGGATTAAGAGCTACAAATTGGTAGTAACAAAATAGTCACAGGGATGTAAAGGATAGTAGAGGGAATATAGTCAATAATATTGTAATAACTATGTATGGTGCCAAGTAGGTACTTGAAATATTGAGGGGACCACATTGTAAAGTATATGATTGTCAAAAATATATATTTAAGCTTAGATTAATGAATGAATAAAAAAATCAAATTTAGCTTTATTAGAAATAAAGTTACTTTTATAAGACTTAAAATACCAAATAACTTGTATTTGTATAGTGGCATTAAGGTATTTTTTAAACTTCTTCTATTATTGTTAGTCAAATATTTGAAATATAGGAAAAATAAAAGAATGTAGCAAATATATTTGGATTTCAGTATTTAAAAATTTTCGCTCAGTTATAGTCTTAATTATAGTCTTATTTCTATGTTAGAAATAGGTGTTGACCATTATTATAAGATTGAAAAAGAAACATAAACAAGCTTAAATATTGCCTATATCTTTTTATTACTGTTTAAGCATTTTTTTTTCTTTAAAAAGTGACACAAGTGAGCTTCTCAGGATAGTACTATGGTTAACTAGTGTTTCATAAAGTTGAGAAAAATTTTAGTAATTCAAGGAAATTTAAAACTACTTTAAGTGTATGTACGTTTGTCACTAAAATGAATTTTTAACACAATTATACAAAGTCAAATGAAAACTTGAGATGGATGCCTGTATGAATCAGACCAGGGAAAGTGTTTCAGGGAAAGCTGATTTCTCGTTGGAATTATTCAATCCAGATGCTTGTACCAGTTTTCGTTCTTGGTTGACTTGGGTTAACACAGCCTAAGCCTAGGTTAAGTTATAAGACAAACAGCTAACATGAAAGGATATAGTCCTTTAAGACTCACGCTTCTTTTTCCCCACCTTAGCCTTTGACCAAATATATTGATATTTTGAACATTTTAAAGACCATGTTAGGGATATTTGGTCTTTATATGTTTAATTCTTTTGTACTGCAGTTTTATTTATTTTCTATCTCTAAAGATAAATACTGACTTTAGAACAATAAGAATGGTTTCATTTGACAGAAGGAGTTAATGTTCACAGATATCCAGTTTTCAGTAAGAAACAGTAAAAGACATTTTATTATATTGCCCATTTACAGTGTCATTATTATCCTCTACCAAATCATTTAAGTTGAGATGTGAAGGGCTTTGGGGAACAGTGTTGCCAACTTAAAACAAAACAAAACAGCAGGTAGCAATCACAGTTAAAGATCCTGAGAGTGACTCTTCTCTTGCAATTGTTCTGCCCTCTAATCGTCCTAGCACGGAGACGGAGTGGAATAGAGTGTAAAACATTATCTTGCGTGTAACCTAAATTGAGATTTGATAACATTGTAGAATACTATTATTGTTTGAATATTAGATTTACCTGCATATATTCTTCTGGTAATACAGGACCTTTAAAAGGCATATTAGACACAAATCTTAGTAATATAAATTATATAGTATCTTCTACATTTAAGTACTCTTTTTTAAAAAAAATTTATCTTTATTGTTGAAAGTATTACAGATGTCCCCTTTGTTTCCCCATTGACCCCCTCGCTCATACCCACCCTTCCCAGGCCTTCACCACACTATTGTCTGTGTCCCTGGGCTATGCGAAAATGCACATAAGTTCCTCTGATTAATCTCTCTGTGTCCACTGCCTGAGGAGTATTCTTATAATAAGTTTTTCATTTCCAATTTTTCTGAACTGAAACTGTTTAACTTAGTAATATTAAACAAGAGTACATCTTTCATAAGGTTCTATGAAGAAAAATAACATGCTATGGAAGATAAAACTTCCTCCTTCTATGTTTCTATTGAGTGTCTCGCCTACAGGCCACTGGAGTTATTATGTCTATGAGAAAAGTGCTTGCAAGTAATGAGCAGTGGGAAACCATTAGTATGCCTGAAATGGTTTAATGAAAGCTTGGATCATGACACCTCAGGAGCTATTCTTATCATTTGGACAGCTCCATCTGCATCTTTAATAATTAATTCAGTTCAGTAAGAGTTTAGCTCACACACTCATTTAGAAGTCTTCTTCAGAGAACACCTCTCTGGCTGCCAGTCCCTGGGAGAAATGGGTTTCTGCTTTGCTAACAGCAAAGATCTGGAGATACAAGTGCAGTTTTAGAGCTGCATTTGCCAGGTAGCAAAAGCTCCAGGGAGGACAAAAAGGGTCAGAACATGTGTGGTTCAGTTAGGTTACTTCAGAGTGGTGTTTCGGTGCTTCTGTCTTATCATATCCATGTCAGCACTGCCAGCTGTGGAATGAATTTTAAGCTGCTAAGCTCAGGCGGATGTGATCCAATTGAGCAGGTTGATGACTGGAATGCAAACTGTGCATTCCTATAATCTGTGGACCCTTTCTGTATTTTTAAATTTCTCATGTCATCAATATGGGTGATGACTACCGTAGTTGTGCCTGCCATTAAGTGGTGATGACTTTTATCAGCAAATTATACTGGAGGATTATTAAAATAATAATTTATAAAAATGATATTTTGGGGTAGGTAAAAGACTACTATGCATTATTGGCAAGAGGAAGAATTCCCCCATTTGTTGATTTACTATTTTTTAGCTATATGGGAAAATACTTTTCTTCTGAATTTGCTGTCAGTCTCTTGCATAGAATTCTGTTGAGACATCTATATAGCTGTTTATATATGCACACACACACACACACACACACACACACACACACACACAGAGTGAAGTTAAAACCTGATTAACTCCTAGTTGTGTTGCCTCATCTCCAGAATTAGTCATCAGTATGGACAGTTAGGCTGGTGACTTGCCATACACCATTAACACAGTCTATAACCAGTGCTTATTGGGGGCTTCTATGGGAAGAATTGAATAATGGCATGTGCCTACCAGGTTTAGACAGATCTTTGTAACTGTCTTTTCCCTTTTCACTATTGCATAACACTTTCCAAACTATTCCACAATGACTAGGTATAAATGCAGTAGTAGTTGTGTCGGAAAGAAAAAACAAACAAAAAAAAACAAACAAAGAACAAGAGTGAGGAGTGAAATGTGGCTGTGTTGCATTGAAGGAAGAAGAAAGAGACAGGCTTCTCTCCGGTCTTTTTTCCTGCCTCCCAGGGAGAAATGGGAGATCCCATGTGTGAAGGTTGTGTTTTATTTCTTAAATGCGTACGAAACACAGGAAAGTAAATCGGAAGAAATGAAAGTGAGAAAAAAGAAAAATCACTTACTCTAACCCAGTGGTCGGCAAACTGTGGCTCGCAAGCCGAGGTTTGCCGCTCTGTTGACTAATGAGTCTGCTGACCAGTGGGATAGGGGCTTAACCGCAAAAGACAACAGCCTGTAATTATTGGAATCGAGAGTCTAGGTCAGTGGTCAGCGAAGTCATTAGTCAACAGAGCTGCATGTGGCTCACGAGCCTCATTTTGCTGACCACTTCTCTAACCTAAAGGAAAAAAGTCACCGGTAAAAAGCAGCAGCAACACAGAGTTATATGGCTAGAAAGAGCCACGTATGTCCTGGGGAAAAGGCAAAGAAGAAAGGAGGCAGAATTGCAGCCAGTTCTTTATTTGAAATTAACCCTTTCAGTCTTCAAGTGGCTATTTTGAATGATAGGTTTTATCAAAGACATTTCTCTTTGCCCACTTGTTTTGATTTTCAGTTGTATTTTAAGAGAGTAAGAAAGAAGTAGAAATGAGATGGGGGAAATCTGTTGAAATATTTTCCTCTACAGTCATGATCCTTATTAGACATATTATCTCTTGTAAAGATCATAGCAACAATATTTATTCTCTGAAAATAAAATTAGCACTTACATTTTTAAAACATTGGAAAAAATAGAACTCTAAATTCACACTAATATGTTGTTTACACTTCAGTATATGTTCTATTTAATTACAGAAAATATTTCACTGTCATATATGTTGGTGGTAACATATTAAAATGTTCAATACCTAAATGATATATATTTTTACTTGTCTAATAAAAGTAGTGAATAGGTATTCGTGACTTTTTTAAAAAATATGTTTTATTGATTTTTTACAGAGAGGAAGGAAGAGGGATAGAGAGTTAGAAACATCGATGAGAGAGAATCATCGACCAGCTGCCTCTTGCACACCCCCTACTGGGGATGTGCCTGCAACCACGGCACATGCCCTTGACAGGAATCGAACCCAGGACCTTTCAGTTCGCAGGCTGATGCTCTATCCATTGAGCCAAACCAGTTTCGGTGGTATTCGTGACTTTTTTAAATGTGGAGTTGGAGAGAAGTATCTTAGCTTTTATTATGATTTACAGTATCTCTTGCAGGCCTTTTTTCAAAATTACTTTGACTTGATGGCATTTCTTGTCCTATTAAAGATACCATTACCTTACCATTTGTCTATCTTTAAGTCATATTTTAAAGACTAACTTAGTTATAAATTTATTGGGATCTAAATATTAGTGCATTGGCTATGATTATATTTTCAATTTCTTTACTTCTATTTTTTATTTATCTTTATTGTTGAAAATATTTCAGATGTCACTCTACTTCCCCCATTAACCCTCTCCACCCCGCTCCCACCCCCTTCCTATGCTTTCACCACACCATTGTCTGTGACCAGGGGTTTTGCACATAAGCATGCAAGTTTTTTAGTTAATCTCCTTCCCTCCTCCTCTGAAATATGTCAGATTGATTGCATGCTTCAGTGTCTCTAGGTTCATTTTGTTTGTCAGTTTATTTTGCTCATTAGATTCCGTATGTAAGTGAGATCATGTGATACTTGTCTTTCTCTGACTGGCTTACTTCACTTAACATAAATGGGAGACTTCACAGACACTTCCGAAAGCATCTGAATCAAATATCCTCCCCCTCGGTTTTATGATTATTTTCTATTACTTTTAGTTGGTTTTAAAGAAACTCATTTTTAAAATGTCCTTTAGAAACATTTGACATTAAGTATGTTAGAAACAATAGCTCTTATTTTTGCACTCAGCTTTTATGGCTTTGTATGATATTTAGTTACATGAGTTTAACACGAACAGGTTTGAGAAAACACAACTGTTAAACCTACAGTTTGGCTAGTGGCGTAGAAGTGTGTGGGCATTTTAGCCATTTGCAGAGGCTGGGATGGTAGTGTTTTACAAAGGAAGTGGAGAATTAATTATTTTGGCAAGTCCATCCGATGGAAGATATTTGACAAGCACACACCTCATGTTATTTAGGATTTCTTTGAGGCTGTTATTTTATACATTCATTCATTATTTCTCTTTAAGGCATTGGTCATCTGGGTGATTTATAAATTGGATTACTCTTCATAGAAGTGCAACACTTTTTAAAATATAAAACTAGTATATCTTTGTTTTGTTTAAATGATAATATTTTCTCTGAGAATAAATTGGCATACTGAATCTCAGCACTGACATTATAGTAGCTAAATAACCTTTGGCAAGATACTTACCATTGCAGATTCGTAAAATGGCTGTTCAGTTATATTTTAAGAGAACAAGAAAGGAGTAGAAGAAAGAAGGGGAAAAGAATATTGCCTGCTACTACCTCTGGAGATAAAATTATAGATTGTTGTTGGTTTTTCCCTCCTATAATTTTCAGAACTTTATGTATTGTGAATGCATTATATTTGTAGGTAGAAAACATACACACACATATAATGTTAAACTCAGTAGGGGACAGAGAAAGGAAGGGAAAATGCATCTAGCAGTCTGTTTTTTAGGATGAAATAAGATATGTTTTCTGTGGCACTTTCTACTTGTTTAGTCCTCAGTCTTTACAAGATGGAAATATTTTTGTATCATACTTAACTTTAATTCTGTTTTTATGTACTTAGATTTTCTGTTTTTGAAAAATGTATTATTGATTTTTTACCTGATTTTCTCCATTGAAAGATAGGTTTGGATGGGTTCACCTCCAAGATTTCTCATTTTGTACTCATTTTTTTTCCATAGCATAAGACTTTTATATATCCATATTTTTTTACATTCATGTCCTTTATTTTCTTATAGTTTATATATTGTCATGGGTAATAACAATTTTTTTTTCTCCCTGGACTATACTACTATACTACTACTACTATTTTATCTTTAGAGGATAATTAATATGCTTAGAAAATAATAAACACCAAATTGAGGGTCTACCTATGCTTCAGGAAATTGTTCAAGAAAAAGGAAGGTTGAGTGACAGCCTAAGTCCAAAAGTTTGGAATAAAAGAAAAAAGTAGTTCCATTAGGACATTCAACAAGAAGGGTCAAGAGGTTTAAAGGATTTTAACTTTGACTTGACAAAGCAGCCTTTCTTATCTAAGAGTTGTAATCACTTTGTCTGTTTTTATGGGTTTTGGTTTGTTTGTTTTTAGGATAGAGTTCTTGTTTTTAACCATTCCTTAAATTTACTAGTTAAGGTTTACTGTTGCATAAAATAAAATAAAAAAGAATAAGAACACTGTTGTTTTTGCCTTAAAAAAAATTAAAGATATACTGTGCCATAATTACTTTAAAACCAAATCAAATATTTACTGTGCTTTCTGAAAGGCTGCTTTAATTTTTTCCAAGGCAGAAAGTGTCTACAATACAATAAGCACATCTGTGTAATAAAGTCAGTAAATATTTGTTGAATAAAATGTACAACAGTGCATATCCCTGAAAGTGTAAGCATATCCCTGAAAGTGTAAGTGTATTGTGACCAACTGAAATAATACTCAGAATGTAAAACTAGAGAAGTGTTTTTACAAATGTTTCTGCTTTTTCTCTATACAACTATTTTAAGAAATAAAATTTTTAAGTACTAGTTTAAACAGGAGCTTCTTTTGTTCTTAAGTAATTAACATAGAATACTATTGGCCAACGCTTGCAAATTGTGCCTATTTAACCTCACTTTTTTTTTTCCATTAAGAAGAAATTCTACATCTAAGAGAAATACAGCACAGTGAGCCAAATGACTGAAAGAGCATAGAGCCTTTATTTACTCTGTACCCAAACTCATCAGGAAGGACTTGGAAATTTTATTTATTGCCCTGGATCGTTTTTTCTAATATAGTGATGAATGGTTAAGATATAGTGTCATTTTGTCACATGGTGTGGTGACTCAGTAAAAAGAATCATGTTACTCTAACAAAGTTATATCTATTACCTACCACCAAGAAATTGCTTTCATCCTACATTCAGTGAGCCTTTTCCTGAATATACCATTGGGCTTGTACTGTCTTTAAGTCATATACAGCTCATACAAAAAAAAAAAAAAAATTGGTCTGTCTTTTTTAAAAGAATGATCCGAAGTAAATATCAAAAGATTCAGGACCAACCATGACTGGTTTGGCTCGGTGGATAGAGCATCAGCCTGAGGACTGGAGGGTCCCAGGTTCAGTCCCTGTTAAGGGCACATGCCCCGGTTGTGGGCTCAATCCCCAGGCGTGCAGGAGGCAGTGGATCAGTGATTCTCATTATTGATGTTTCTATCTTTCTCTCCTTCTCCCTTCCTCTCTGAAATCAATAAAAATATATTTTTAAAAAGTAATAATAAATCCAGGACCAGCCTATTAATATAGTTCTATTTTTACAGCATAAAAACGAAACTGCCTTCTCTCTGTTGAGCATTCTGTCAGGTGACTAGAAGCAAATGCAAATGACAAACCTTTATCTTTCCTCAGTCAAAACCCAACTCCTTTCTTCTGAGTTCACTAGTGTTTATCTCCCAAACCTTCCTTCCATGTCAGGTTTCATCTTGCCCAGTTTGCACATCAGTTTTTTGCTCTGGCTGAAGGTTCTAGAGGGAATCAAAAGAGCCTTTTTCAGAAATTACCTGTTTCCATACAATATAAAGACTGGTAAAAAAACAAACAAACAAACAAACAAACAAACAAAAACCGATGGCTTTTAATAGATAAATAGCAAAATATACATCTATATATGTTTATCTTACTTTATATAGCTGTTCATATATTTTATTTCATTTGACCCTCATAATTACCTTACAAGTAGATTGTACAAATGTAATTACCCTCCTTTAATCAGCCAAAATCAAAAGCTAGATTTTCAACTAAGTCTTAGGTTCTCAAATCCATCAATAGCTTCATTATAAGCTACATGCTATAAATGCCTTTCCTAAGGAATTTACTTTAATGTTTCTGTTAGATGGCTTTTAAGCCCTGGAGTACCTCTAGCTAAGGAAACTAATTTAGGTATCTAATTTATTTAATCATCACCATATGATACTGATTTAATGAGGTTGCAATTTCATGTCAAATGATCTATTAAAAAATCGATCAAACATAGCTCGAGTGTTTTATTATTTAGACTTAACTGGATCATTGCATATATAAACTAAAGTTGAATCATTGTCTACTATATACTCATGTCTTTGGTATTTAACTGCATTAACTCATTAAATAAATTTGCAAAAATGCGTTGTTTATTCTTTGGTTGTAGTGGCCTAATTCTTTTTTATTTTTTTTATTGTTTGTTATAACAGCTAAATATTATCTTCCTGGTGATCACATTGTGCAAAATGGTGAAGCACTCAAACACTTTGAAACCTGATTCTAGCAGGTTGGAAAACATTAAGTAAGTAGTTTGTATTTTTTAAGCTTAGTGCTTGACAAACTAAGTGCAAGATATTCTCCACAGGGAATCCATGAGTACCTTCTCTCAACTAGAAATTATTCAGAATGAATGAGGTTTTATTGTACAAGGGTGAGTCTCAGTGTGACCACGTCACAGACATTGGTCAAAAATTAGATAATAATTTCTGTCTTGATGTAGAGCCAAGAAATTGTTTCAGTAGCTTTGTGGAAATTCCATATCACGGTAGCAGTTTCATTTGAATTTAAAATGCAGTTCAAAATGATGTTCCTGCTTTCATGGCTGATAAGATTATATTCAGTTTGTTTTGTTAAATGACTTTTTTGATTTAAGGATCCTGAGCAATTTTCTACTTCTAATCTTGCTTTCCAAAGAGAATACATTATATTACTGTTGTTAACATGGAGATTATCTGTTGTTTTTATGATAATTGAATAAATGTTTGTTTTATTTCAATGTTGAATAAAAACTGCAGTAGCCTATCTATGGAAAAATGCTATCCAATTAACAATAATTTGATAGTTGTTGACTCCTAAGTCAGCTTATGGGAGCATTTTCAGTTATTTTTTAAATATGAGCCTTAATTTAAAATTTGATGAGCTATTATCCAAGTTGATTATAATGGGATTACAAAAAATATTTTTAATGTAAAAAATGGCAGATCTATAGTAAGGGTAGTTTTTTAAATATTAGAAGTTTTAGATAGGTTAGTGCCAGCTTCATTGCATGTTGCATGATAAGAGAGAGAGCTAATCTTTAGCATCTCTCTCTTTTCTTCCTTTTCCTCTTTCTATCTTCTCATCTATACCAGTAATTACCGTGTTTGTGATGGCTACTATAATACGGACTTACCTGGGTAAGGTAGAACCCTACATTAACAAATTTATGGCATGATTTATATTTTTTACAAAGCTGTCAATATCATGAATTGCCCTTAATTCTTATAATTATTTTTGTATGTCTGATTTGCTGTAGTATTTTAAAACTATAATATGCCTTTATTTTTTAATTGCTTGCCTCTGCATTTTGACTAATTTATAAAATATATAAATGCTTTCATATTACTTTCTATTTTAATTCTGTCTAATAATTTTGTTTCTCTTTTCTGCTTATAATGCTTTCTAGCTATGAAGATAATAAGCCATTTATCAAGTAAGATCATTAGTTAGACATGGAATGCACCGACTTTAAATCCTTTTCATTCCGTCCTATTTCCTACAGTTCTTTTCTCCTTAAGCTATTCATGACGAAATTTCTCCAAATTTTTTATTTTTATTTTCAATTTGTTCTCATGTTTTTTGTCCCATTTCAGCTAGGCTTCTTCATGCTTTAGTTATAAAAACCTTAGGGTTCACCTAAGATTAGTTTATCAGAATCTAAGTTTAGGAGCTGATTATCTGCCATTTAACCTTTCTGTATGTGTCACATTTCTCAGTGTTGTGGGTACACCACAGGAATAAAAAGACAGGAGTCACCTCACCAAGGACTCCTAATTTCTTATACCAAAATGCACATAAAAGCCAGTAAAGTCCTGGGGGGATGTTTTACACGTTGAATTTTAATATAGTTTTGATACCTTGTTTATTCTGGAGTAAAAAAAGAAAAAGGTCATCCCTGCTGTTGCTGTTTTCACTGGAGGCTGCAGTACTAAATGCTACCATTCCTTCTTTAATCAGTGAAAGGTTAAAGCCAAAATGCTGTTGAATTTGAATGTGAACATAGAGAAAGTCAACTGCTACTACTGATACGTTCATATTTCAGTGTGATGTGTGTTGTTCTCTCATGGAACCTGTGAATGAAACTCGCTTTATTTTTTCAGGTCTTGGGTGCTTGGCGCTTTCGCTCTTCTGTGTCTTCTTGGCCTAACCTGGTCATTTGGGTTGCTTTTTATTAATGAGGAGACTATAGTGATGGCATATCTCTTCACCATCTTTAATGCTTTCCAGGGAGTGTTCATTTTCATCTTTCACTGTGCTCTTCAGAAGAAAGTAAGTGACTGCGCCGCGGAGTTCTGCTTGCGTGTTCTTGTAGTGGAAATAACAGATACAATGGAGAAGATATTATGTTACAACTGGTATATTATTAATTGGGTTATATTTTTAATCATAAACTAATTATAATGCATGTCTGGAAATTTGGGCTTCACATATAAAAGAATTCAATAGCAATCATTTTTTAATATCAATTTGGGGCTATTATAAACTCGGTATTTATGTTAAGATGTCTTCTTTGCTACTGGGGTCTATAAAAATGCTTTGTGCAAAGGGTATACAAGATAAAGAAAATGTTAAGTAATATTGTTCTTTGCTCAATAAAGAGAATACAGTGGTCCAAAATGAAGTTGAGTATAAGGATACATGCCCTTAATTGAAAGGCTCTAGCCATACAAAAATTTAATATTATTGTTGCCTTTTGAGTAATTTTAATGATCTAGATCTAAAATTTAATAATTTTGTATCTCACATTTTATTGTTTAGTGCTGACTTTATATTAAGTGGAATAAGCAAAAATCATATCAAAATTAATGTTTGTTTAAGAATGAAATACTGCTGCAAACACAAGGGAATAGTTTAGCACCATTTAAATCTAAAATTTCCGAGCCTTTCTGGTATCATCTTTTCCCTGCATGCATATCCAGTGTAGTCTTTTTATTCTGTTATTACTGGTTGATCACTTAAATTGAACAGAGAAATAGAATTGTGAAAGTGAAAACTATTATGTTTTCAATCCTGACAAGATGATAGTGTTGTTACTTCCATCAGTTTTGAATAAGCTGTAATTTTGAGATAATAACAGTGGAATGTGCAGTCCTGACAGGTAATGTACATTCACAGCAATATAGGCATTAGGGAACACCAACACCAAAGGTGTTATTTGGATAAAGTACCACTTTCATTGCCATTGTCTTGGTTATGCAGCATTTCAGATTAGTTAATGGCCATTAACTGTGCAGACATTTTTTATAAGGTATGATGTGTTATTTAATAACATTAAAACTTAACTTTTAAAATATGATTCAGGCATAACCTTTGTAATTGCTTTGGTTATTATATAGTTCTTACTTTATAAATAAGCATTCTGTATACATGCATACGGGCACATTTGCAATCTGCCAAATTATTTTGAGATAAAACCGAAACTTAGCCATTATTTTCTCATAGAGTTGTGTGTTAATTGAACAAAGATTTAGCTCTGCTTTTTAACTGCAGTTACATTCAAAAGCATCCTGCAGCTCTTTTGAATATACCCTACTTAGTCATGGACACATCCTCTTGGCGCTGCCAGGATGACTTGTGAAGACTATGATACAAAGTGATTTAGTTTAAATCCTTGTTTACTACTTCAGTGAGCATATTTAGGCAAAGAAAATGCTTTGAAAGTTCATTTCCATTGTTATTTTTCCTAATAGGTATAATTAAATAAAGCTAAAGGGAGGAAAATGCAAGTGCACTTAGATTTAAAAGGTCATCTAGTGGCTTTAATTACCTAGTTTTGCAAGGAATGAGTGTCAAAATCATGGTCTTTGAGGGCAGATACAGAGCATAGAACTGTGAGAGGGAAGGAGCCTTTGAGTGTGTTTTGTAACCTACTCAAAGAAAAGAGTTTCTTAGGCAACATCTCCCTGTCTGTCTTACAGTTTTGAAGTCTGACTCTTGGCCACAACAAGACATGTTTATGTGCCAGTAATGTTGCATAAAAATCCAGGAGTTCACCTACTTCTCCCAAGTTTGTTCCACCTCACCAGAGTCCCTATCATGTAGCGAGTGTTTGGACTTCACTTTTTAAAGTTTACTTTAAACTTTCTTTTAGACCTAATAACTTTTCCATCTATTCTTATATTCAAGCTTGGCGGAGAAGGGGATTACACGGTAACTCATTAATGTGAATAGAAATTGCATAAGTAGTTCCCTTGTGAGCTAATGAAGTACATAGGCACCTTGGACTCTTTTTACTCAGTGTTTAAAACACATCAGGAAATGAAGGCAACATTCCATCATAATTAATGGCATGTTATCAAAGTACTTTATTTCTTAATTCTTATGCCAAAATAGCCTTGTCATTATAAAGAGGCTACCCACAAAAGCATGCAATCCAATAAAAGGTTTGTGTACATTGACTTACCTAAGGAGGACATGAAGTGTCTAATTCAATCATTTAAGCTTCTGACGCGTCCTGTCCTCCTTGGCATGAAGTATAAAACTGGGACTCGTAAACATACAGAAAAAACAAGGCATTGAACATATTGCTGTTGTGTTAATAACATTAGCATAACAGGTTCTAAAGCATCACTACCTAATATATCACATTGCAGAGATTTTACTAGCTAGTCTATTGGACAGAGATATTTTTTTCCCGACTACAACCGTTTCAGTTACACTTGATTTTTGTAAGTTCAGTTTTATTTTCTGCACAGAAGTATGTTTGTGGAACTTCTTGGTTGTCTCCATTGCTTACTGAATTAGAGAAAGGGAGAAGCAAGGATGTTTATGTTAACCCCCTGGTCTCCCGGTGCTTCACTGCAGGTGCGAAAAGAATATGGCAAGTGCTTCAGACACTCCTATTGCTGCAGCGGCCTCCCAACGGAGAGTCCCCACAGCTCAGTGAAGGCATCCACCAGCAGGACCAGCGCTCGGTATTCCTCTGGCACACAGGTAACAGGGACTCTGACAGCGTCCTCACTCGGCCTCCTTGATAGCCAGCCTACCAAGACAGGCTCTGTTCAAGGGCCCTCATTGTCTCCTCATTCTAACGGTGTCTACATGGCAAACACTTGCTTTTGTAGTATTTTGGTCTCATTGTCTTCTTAAGTATTTCTGGAAGGTGTTTCTTGAGGTGTGAACATACTTTTTTTGAGAGGTGTACTTCTTTAAAAAGTCTTATCAGAATCATTTCATATCCTAAGCTTTGTATATAGCACAGTGCTCATTGTACTCAGTAAACATTTGTTGAATAATCAGTCATCTCTATGTTAAAATAAACAAAAAATCAATAAAGGAAAACTTTTAAAGGATAGAAGATTAAATTCCCCTTAGTAGAAAAGCAACAGAGTAGTATAGACTTCCTTAGTTTGAGATAGAATCCACACATTTTCTTATTTAAAAAGCCCCGACAGACCATCCTACACAGATTGATAGGTTAAATCTTTGTGTATCTTTAATAAGGTAAATTTGGGGAAACTAACATAACATGTCTTGCTATTTTATGTTGATAGAGTCGTATAAGAAGGATGTGGAATGACACTGTGAGAAAACAATCTGAATCTTCTTTTATCTCAGGTGACATCAATAGCACTTCAACACTTAATCAAGGTCAGTTACTAGGAAAATTTGAGTTTACAATATAAATTTTGTACCTTTTGCCAATTTACAATAATCCTAGAGAAAATGGGGAATTTTTTTCAAATGTGTTTATATCACAAGCTCCTAAATCTTTTGAGTCAGTTTTCATTCTTTATGCAAGTACATATAAATTCTTTTTATTCAATAATGTAATGCAAACAGTATAATTTTAAACTCCGCATTAAGAGTAAGGCTAGAAAAAGTTATTACTGAAAATATACTGATTCATGTTTTCCTAGTTGTAGAAATGTATCCTTTTAACCCAGACATTTACCAAAGTTTTCTTCTTAAAACATCAACACAATTAGAATAACCACTATTCACATTAAACAGTGCCAGTTTTGTAGTGAAGATTCTTATTTGCTAAAGTTTATATTTTACATTTATTTCAAAAAGTAAAGTGTCAAAAACATTTATAGTAAAGCTTCATAAACAAAAGCTAAAATACATGAGAATTTACAAATTAATCTTTTTCTTCTTGAATTACTATTTTTATGTGTCTACAGTTACATCTTTAAAATTATCACTATCATTATAATTCTTAAATAAGCTGGCAAATAAAATATTTTAGCAAGATAAGGACACAAATACATGTATACATAGTTCTTAATGCAAGTTTAGCAAATTTTAACTTGGTATGAAAAATCATGTCATCGTAATGTCAGTGGAAAGGTAATTTATCCAGGTAATTTTAGTTTTGTTGTATTGATTGGTAATATTGCATGTTATATTTTATTAGTGACATTTTTCAATGTTGTCATTGTTTTGATAAGAGTTGGCTGAAAATGAAAAAAGGAGTATGTATGACATCAAAATTGAATTTTAAAATATTTTTAGTGAAATTACATTAGATATGCACAACATGTTTGATAAGTATTAAAAGGTTGGTAATTTGTAATTAGAATAAGTGAAATGTGTTTATTCCATGGCTCTGATATGTCACCTAATTTTGTTAAGATGACTATCAAAAAGGAAACCAGTTATTCAGTGATTCACTTTTTGAAACCTGGCAAATAAAATGCTTGTTATGTACAATTTATGAATGGGCCAATAATGAATTATACACAGCCTTTTCTTCTTCAGCATGTGTGCTCTTGCATTTACTAAGAGAAGCTTTGTGCAATGTGTCATACTTTTTATCTGTTTGAAGTTGTTTTTCCTCCTGCTTGTATAGAAGTTGTTATTAACACAGATGTTTTCATGAGGGATAATCCCACACCTGTAAATCCTGAAAGTGTGAGATTCCCTCTTCTGGGCCTCAGCGGTTAGGTTTTTAATATTAAGCAGTAACATCTTGAAACATAATGTTGATCTCTGTGCATTTAATTGCCATTTTTGTTTAACAGTGATTTTTTGTATAAATTAGTAAATGTCATCCTCAGCAGGTGTTTACTTGGGGACTTAGAAAGCACCTGTGAATTACTGAAATTTAACTTCCCTCTACCCTTTCTCCTTCAAATTAGTAGTTCAAATACAGTCAGAAAATTTCAACAGATTTTTCGTTGCCAACTTGTTCACTACCCTTGATGAATACGAAAAGTACTGTACTGCAACTGTAACACTAAAATAAGAGAACTGATGTCTTTTCTTTCCTTCCCTTTCTTTTCTTTCCTTTTTTGCTTTAGGAATGACTGGCAATTACCTACTAACAAACCCTCTTCTTCGACCCCACGGCACTAACAACCCTTATAACACATTGCTCGCTGAAACAGTTGTATGTAATGCCCCTTCAGCTCCTGTATTTAACTCACCAGGTGTGCTTACACTTACGAATAAAACTACCTTTCTTTGCTGCTATCAGAGCTCTGGTCTTTGCCCTTTCTCTAGAATATTCATGTTGCCATATATTTATGATTACATCCATAGTCTCTCAGTTGAAAGAGAATGGTGTATTGAGCATGCCAGGCTTCTAAAACTGCACTATATTATAGTAAAAATTCAGCCATGATAGTATTTACCAATAACTATCCATGTTTTTGACACAGGTGGCATAAATCTTAATATATTATTACAGGACTGACATCACATGGTCCGCGAGCCCATCTTCAAGATTTATATCACTTAGAGGTATCCGTTCTATGTAATATTCTGTTCAGTTGACTCTAAAGCTTGCCAACAGAATTTGCTTTTGGAATGGATTAGCTAATAAAGATCATTTGGATGCCTAGCTATAGAAAACGCCATCCAGCATTATCAACGTAACCACACTATAGTATAGTGCAGCTTTATGGTAGTTTTTCTTTTTTTTTCTTCTTAAAATAGCTTTGAAAATGTAGTTAATAACAATCAGTTTATACCTGTAGTTGTGTTTGTTTGTTTTTAATTGGGGGAGGGGGATAGATTGTCACTAACCCATCCTAAATTACTGTGTCTTCTGATAGCTTATTTTTTAAAAAGCATATATATTTAACAGAATTTTTCAGGATTTTGATAAAAGTTACTGCTGCTAATTACTGCTAGCATATAGTCTTTATTTGTGATTGCTATTTAGCACTAAGTTTAACGCAGAACTTTGTTTCTGTTTTTTTTCCTTGAAATTCTATTTTAATGTAACTGCAGCTTTTCATTCTCTTGTTTTTCTCACTTTCCTTACGCTTTCCTCTAGCAACCTACAGAGAGACAAGTATGGGAGTAAAACTTAACTTTGCCTATCAAATGTAAATTTTTTCAGCATGATTTTTAACCGGCACAATTAAAACATAACTAGCAGTCATGAAGTAGACTCAGCGGGCAAGTGGTTCACAATTTGCAACTAAAATGTTACCAAATTCAAACAGTACAGCTGTCTGTACTGCTCTTTCTCAACAATAGAGGTCTGTAGCAAACGCTGTCCATACTTAAGAGTACACAATGCTGAAATAATTTGCTCTTTAAAGCCCAAGGTACTGTCAACCCAAATGCTGAATAATTGACTTATCATTTCTGCATTCCCACAGTCATCTTGCAACAGGCTGTGGAAAGTCTTCAAGTGAATTACCTGAACTTGGGCAGAAAATTTGCCTCTTCCAAACAAGTCAAAGAATGTGCTTAAATCTGCAGTGTATCATAGAAAACACCTTCTGTTTTACCCAGTATATATGTTTGTATTTATTAAGCAATAATAAAAAGACAAGATCAAACCTCTACAGAGGAAACAAATGCTAGCAAGTGGCCTGTCCTGTAACTTAAAGCACCAAGTAGTTTCCAGTGATGGATCTTATAAAGATTGTGGTGCACACAGGAACTTAGAAAGTGAGAGAACTGTACCAACCAAGCTAAAAGAAACCTTACAAATAACTATCAACTTCATTTTGTTATATGTGGAGCTTGATGTTAATTGGCCTGTCAGTTTCTCAAAAGTAGAGGTTGGATCAGAGTTTTTTAAAATAACATGAGTGACCAACAAATATAATCACCCCATTTTCTCATTTTCTACTAATGATAATTTATCAAACAATTATCATATATTTATTGGTCATGAAACTAAGTTTTCTAGGATAATCTGCAGCTTTAAGAGTGAAGTGAGCACTAAAAAAGGAAAAGTGCCTATTTTTTCCAAGAATTAAATTTTTTTTTCTTAAACTCCTCCAAGCCTTGCATACAATGCAGCAGCCTCACAGTGGTCAGTTTCATTTCAATAACCATCATCTCATTCTTTTATTTTTTTTCCAGACCTATCTGTAGACAAGTGATTTTTTTTTTTCCCCTCTAGGATTTTGAGAATGAATAACCCAATTTCCCATGGTGCAGATCATTTAATTTTCTCTATTTTTTTTCCCCATTTGCCTGAAAAGCACTGTGATGTCCTAGTTTACATGTTTATGTGTCTGTAGAAAATATAACTCTGATTCAAAGAGAGCATGTTACCGTATTTCTTTTTCTTCCTAAACCTCTTTCATATCTTCAGCAGACGTACCCAGTCTCTCATTCCTTTAGAGATAAACAATATATTAGCCGAGGCTAACACCCTTTTTCCCATTCCATAGTGAATATTCTTGGTTTAATTTCTGTGACCCATACCTAAGAAATCTATAACATTTCTGCGTTTAACCTCTATGCCCACGGCGTCTGTGGGCCAGTCTCGTGCAGTAGACTGCGGGTTCATTGGGTGCTGTCACTGTGACTGATGCAGACTGCAGGGCTGCAGGCAAACACCTTGACCATTAGGAGCCTGGGGCCATGGCTATTAGAGTTCTCGTTTCCAAAGTACATATCGAAGTTTCCAAAGTACATATCGAAACAACAAGAACTATGAAACCAAAACGTGAAAGGCTGTTATTGCTGGTAACCTAATTTGTTGAACCCTTGCTCCGACTAAGTTGCTGAGAAGCTTAGAAATTCTTCATCATGTTACAATAAATCATTTTACTTTCTTTTATATATCAGCTACTCTTAGGCCAGATAGCCTGAGCAGACAGACATGATGTGAGTTGTCCAAAGTGAGTCATTCCACCTGCTGTCTGTCATGTTGTTGGATGGTGCTTGTGGGCCCCTCGCCCAGTCCGTATGAGAGATGGCTGTCTTTGTTGAACATGAATTCTTTGTATCTGTCCATATTTTTCATTCTTCTTCTTTTTTTTCTTTTTTTTTAAATCTCATCTCCAGAAAAAAAGGAAATGTTAGATGTTGTTTAAAAAAAGTTGCTTGCCACTTATGTGGGTTTGTGTTGTACATTTGCCTTTGGTTTTTGTATGTGACTTTTCCTTTTTAATTTAGTGTTGTTTAGGACAAATTCTGTTAATTTTATTTTTATAAATCATAGTCTCGTACTTTAAAATGTAATTGTCAATAATGAATTGCTTTGCATTAACTATGCAAGGGCATGGAGTGAAAGTCATTTTTTTTTTGTCAGAGATTTGACCCAAAATCGATGAATTACCGTCTCCCCGAAATTGGTCAAGTAATATTCAGAATGGCATCTTCCCTCCCTGAGAAAACAGATTTACCCGTTCACACGTTTTCGTATTAGCTACCTAAGGGGGTGCAACGGTTTACAGTTGGGAATGCGGGAAAGCTCGGCACTTCCCAAGTGTCCGCTTTCGGATACAACTTTGTCCTGAACGACATTAAAACGTTTTGTGCCCAAGAGTTAATGATTTTTTTTGGGCGGGGCGGGGAAGGATCCTCAGCCATAACGGAAACCCCGTTGTCTGTTTCAGGACATTCACTGAACAATGCCAGGGATACAAGTGCCATGGATACTCTACCGCTAAATGGTAATTTCAACAACAGCTATTCACTGCGCAAGGGGGACTACACCGACGGCGTGCAGGTCGTGGACTGCGGGCTGAGCCTGAATGACACCGCTTTCGAGAAGATGATCATTTCGGAGCTGGTGCACAACAACCTGCGGGGCGGCGGCGGCAAGACTCACAACCTTGAGCTCACGCTCCCGGTCAAGCCCGTGATCGGCGGGAGCAGCAGCGAGGACGATGCCATCGTGGCCGACGCGTCCTCCCTCATGCACGGCGACCCCCCGGGGCTGGAGCTGCACCACCGGGAGCTGGAGGCCCCGCTCATCCCGCAGCGGACTCACTCCCTTCTGTACCAGCCGCAGAAGAAAGTGAGGCCCGAGGGCACGGACAGCTACGTCTCCCAGCTGACCACCGAGGCCGAGGACCACCTGCAGTCGCCCAACAGGGACTCCCTGTACACGAGCATGCCCAACCTCAGAGACTCTCCCTACCCGGAGAGCAGCCCGGACATGGAGGAGGACCTGTCCCCCTCCCGGAGGAGCGAGAGCGAGGACATCTACTACAAGAGCATGCCCAACCTGGGGGCTGGCCACCAGCTCCAGACGTGCTACCAGATCAGCAGGGGCAACAGCGACGGGTACATCATCCCCATCAACAAGGAGGGCTGCATCCCCGAAGGGGACGTGAGAGAAGGCCAGATGCAGCTGGTGACCAGCCTCTAATAGCTCAGCCGGGGAGTCCCCAGGGCCGTCTGCGGGTGTTCCCAAAGCTGGGCCGGCGGTCCCCCCACCCCCCGCGCAGACTCGGCCCGCAGACAGCCCCGATGACCTGTGGTTCCTCCCGTGTACAAAGAAAAGAGGACTGAACCTTGCCGTTCTGTGAATTTTTATAAAACATAACAAAAAAAAAAGAAAGAAAAAAGCTTTGTATATACACAGAGTATACTAAAGTGAATTATTTGCTACAAAGAGAAAAAGAGATGCCAACCAGGTATTTTAAGATTCTGCTGCTGTCGAGAGAAATTGTGAAGCGAGCAAAACGCAACTTTCCCAGCCATTTTACCGCAGCAGTTTGCGAACTAAATTTGTAAATATGGCTGCACCATTTTTTTGTAGGCCTGCATTGTATTATATACAAGACGTAGGCTCTAAAATCCTGTGGGACAAATTTACTGTACCTTACTGTTCCTGACAAGACTTGGAAAAGCAGGAGAGAGATTCTGCAGCAGTTTGCAGTTCACTGCAAATCTTTTCCATTAAGGCAAAAGATGGAAACCATGTTTAACCACTAGCAATCAAGCCACAGGCCTTATTTCGTATGTTTCCTCAACTGTACAATGAACTATTCTCATGAAAAAAAAAATGGCTAAAGAAATTATATTTTGTTCTATTGCTAGGGTAAAATAAATACCTTTGTGTCCAACTGAAATAGAATTGTCATTAAAATAATTTTAAAGAGTTTGAAGAAAATATTGTGAAAAGCTCTTGGTTGCACATGTTATAAAATGTTTTTTCTTACACTTTGTCATGGTTCTGCCCATTGTCACTTAGTTTCCACTGTATACAAGTGTTCTGCTTTGACACGTTAGTTTTATCTTTACATTTAAATTCCTTATTGCCAAAAGAACGTGTTCTATGGGGAGAAAAGTCTTTGGAGCCAGTTACGCCATGCCTTGCACAACCGTGGTGAAATCTAGAAAAGATTGCGTGTTGCCCCTCCGTTGATTCTTGAACAGAGGGCAGAGAGGGCACGAGGCACTTCTCACAGACTTTCTAGTGAACAAAAGGTGCCTCTTCTTTTTTAAAAATAAAATAAAACATAAATATTACTCTTCCATATTCCTTCCGCCTATATTTAGTAATTAATTTATTTTATGATAAAGTTCTAATGAAATGTAAATTGTTTCAGCCAAATTCTGCTTTTCTTTTCATCCCTTTGTGTAAACCTGTTAATAATGAGCCCATCACTAATATCCAGTGTAAAGTTTAACACGGTTTGACAGTAAATAAATGTGAATTTTTTTTCAAGTAGTTAACGTGCACTTTTATGTATGACATACAATTGGCTTTACCACATTGGCCCTCTTCCACCCCTCCCCCTCGGATATATTTAGATCCCTTCATAATATAACCCATGGATATGGAAAAGAATACTGTTAAGTTGCTGGATGGCTTTATATTCTAAGAAGTATTTAATATATGGTGATTGTCCATTACCCATGCTCACAATGTGGCCAATAAGTTTAAACAAATTACACTGAAAGCCTTTCATTTGTTAGATTGCACCAGAACTTAAAAAATAATAATGAAAAAATGGGGGGTTGAAAGTTCTACAGTCAAATTGAGCATCATAAAAAATTTTTTTTTTTTTATTTTTCAGCAGTATTGAGAAGAAATTTCTAAAACATACTTTTACAGTGTGAGGATTATAAGTATCCCTATAAGGGAGCTGCAAATGACAATATTTGTTATCATGGAAAGGTTCAAAAATCATAATTGAATCTCAACAAGTAGATGTTTCCTGTCCACATCATAAGCATTTGTACCAAATTCTTCTACAGCTTAGTGGTTCTCCCCAGTGCTCCCACCAAGTCAGAAATCACTTTATTTTATGTGGACACACTTAGTCATGCCTGTTGATTTTTAAAAAAGAGTAATGAGGAAAAAAAATGTCCAAGTATATATTTATATATCTAAATGTGGCTATAGTAAGGTAGATACTATATAATAAAGAATCAATATTTAATAGTAGGGTAACATTGAAGGAGTATATTCACATGTAGTTACCTAACAAGTTGGAGATTGACTATAAGACATTATATTCATATTCAAACAGATATTCTCTGAGAAGAATAGTCCTATTTCTTTGGCTAAAACTCTAGTCATCTACAAAATTTTATTTGCTAGAAGGAAGTATTATATAATCAAACATTTTAATTTTCTATTTTATGCTTTTTTTCCTTTCAAAGCCTGGAACTATACAGTGATGTGTGATACGTACGTCCCAGTATACAAACTGAGTAGGATTAGATGGGTTCAGTAATGAATTACCAATTTAAAAAAAAAAAAAAAGTAGCATTGATTATTCAATTTGTGCTATTTCTCTTGAAACAGTTCTTAAAACTGGTATGTGAATAAGTATATAATACATAAATGGTTAATGTTCTCTTTAGAAAAGGTAATTTATTATGAGTCTTTATGTTAGAGAGTAGAATCTGGAAGCTGTCATTCGTCTTTGCCACCAAAAGAAAAATCATCTTTAGAACCGATTTCTTTTTAAGAAACATATAAATGTTGCCTTAAATTCCATCTAGGCTTCCTCCTAGTACAAGTTTGTTCTTTAAGTTTAAAATTATTAACCTACTGTCTGATGCATTACTCTGTTTATTAGTCCAGTAGGTCCGTTAGGTCTGCCCAAACTTCACCTGGATATACTGTACACTTTCTACATCCTTGATTGTTTCTCTTTGTGATAGTCACAACTGTGAACTTTTATAAAGTCACGTTATTGTACCTCCTCCCAGGGACAGTTCCTCTACTGGTCTGTTACTAAGAAATGATTGTTAACGTTGGCGTTAGCTGTAGCTTCATACAGGTTAATTCAGATTGACTTATTTTGAAATATAGGCCTGTGTTTATCCTATTTACAAAAGAAAACAACTGTATATATTCATCTTACAGGCTTTTAAAATCACTGATGTGGAAGAGAATCCATCCATATAAGTGTCAAGTTACTTAAATACATTGTCAAGTCCAACTCATCCACGTTTATTTGAGGATTGTTCCCTATAATATTTAAACCAGTATTAACAACTGGTCTTAAAGGAAAGGAACCATTATTTGACAGAAAATTCCCATCACTATTCTCTCCCCCAAAAGAAAAGCATCATGCACAAATTCATTACCAAATTTCAAAGAAATACTCATGTGTACTTGTTATAACAGTGTTTTCAGGACCCTGGCTTTATGTATTTATTTAAATGAAAAGGAGAAAATGTACTTTTCCATCAATTCAACTTTGAACCTCAGGCTTCAAACTGACCTTTATGATGCTCTCACGGGATAGAACGTTTTGTAAAGAACTTGAACTCACTGAGAATTTTATTGTGGTTATAACCTAAGTAGAAAAACTTGAAAGAATGCATACAAGTTGAATTTTTGTAATGAAAACAGCTCTTCGTATTTTATTGATACTGAAATTTTCTTTAAAGACAGTTATTCCTGCAGTGTTTTACAAATAAAAAAACTACCTGTGTTCCAGATATTATTTCTCTTTCCATGAAATTGTTGCATTAAGTCTCAAACATCAGTATGAAAAGGTACTAACATGTTGAATGTAGATGAGGATTGCTTCACAGGGAAATAAAATTAGGGTGTTTTTTTGGTGAAAATGTGTTATCACATGCTTCCTGCTTCAAGCTGCTTTAGAGCAATCCTTACTTAAATAGGAGCTGAGGAATGAGTGAATGGTTCTGGGTTTGGGGGTTAATTCACGGCTGCCTTAATTATCATTTGAATGGTATGGAATGAGAATTTTCTATTATGTCACTTTGAGTTTCATAGAAAATGATCATAGAAAACACATTAGTTAGCTAAATGCACCAAGCCAAAAATTTGAATGTTTGAGAATATCGTGTTTTTTTAACCAATATGCTCTTTATGCATATCACTGACGCTTTGTTCCAAAATGTACGGGACTGATGGAAGCTCCTGGATATTATCCAAGTTAAACTCAACACACTATGGCCACCGTGCTTTCAAGGCCAGGGTAACATATCTCTGTCAGAGGGCATTAATAATAAGCTGAAAGAGAACCATGTAATTAGGTTAATTAAGCGAACTGTAAGTGTTTTTCAAGTATTGGCAACAGACCACCCCTCATCCCTTACGGCCTCTGTGGGGTTTTCATCCTTTCCCTGATGGCATTACTGCTTACATCTGCTTTAGGGAAAAAATGCTGCCCCATAAATCTTTTACCCATTTCTCTGTTATGTGCTTCTGAAGTTATAAGACCAAATTCTCTTAGACATGTTTAAAAAGCATAGTTAATTTCAAGCAAACCGATGTTGTGTGAGCATAAGAGACATGATGATCAATTTTGGAATAGTTTGTTGAATATTTTTACATAAGCATTTCAAAATCATATGTCAGAACCGAGCTTTTTAAAAAGCGTTTTGGCAGTCACAGCCATATGGCTTTCTCGATTGATTTTATTAGGGGGAAAAAAAAAAATGACTGATCTTTTGATACTCTTAAAAAGACAGCCACCGTATAGAACACCCAGGAACAATAATGATAGATAACAGACATATTGATTAGATTAAAAGATTAATTCAATAATTTTTTTCAGCTGAAATATCAATCTTTATGAATAGACTAGAGGCCCCATGCAGGAAATTCGTGCAAGGGGCTTGGCCCTTGCAGCCCCAGCTTCATCTGGAAGGATGTTGGGTCTAATTAGCATATTATGCTGGTCTAAAATAAATATATGTTTGAGAATTATTTTCCACAACTGGTTATCCTTTTAAAAATCACAAAGTATATTAGACCTTGAGATCACATTTTAGAAGTTACAACCAGGAATGTAACTTTTCTTCCAGAGTGAGGTTTATAAATTAATACAAGGATTATTTTTGCTATTTTATTATTGTGGAATATTTTCCTCTCATAATAAATTTACTTACCCCCATAAAAAATCTTAAAGGTACATTACAGAAGGCTAG